TTCCTGCGAACATACCATGTAATCATTTTTTTTTTTGGTATATTGCATCCATCAGTTCTTTAGTCTCATTAATTACCATTTTAGCCTCCTAACCTCTAAATCTAAATTAACTATAAAGAGAGAAAAAAAAAAAAAAAAGGAAAAAGAAAGCAAAAGTTCAAACCAAGGCACAACTAGGTATCTAGACGTTAATATGATTTTACCTAAATAATGCTTAACTAGATTAAAGGAAAATAACGTTCATATGAAAATACGTGAAAAATCAAATTTCAAGAATTTAAGGACCATTGGCATGAAATAATCTATGAATAATTAATAATACTTATTTCACACGAGAGATAAATAAATAAATAAATATTGAGTTTACGTAAAAATATTTTTATTATTTTTGACGAGTCTAGAAGTAAAATTTGTAAATGTGTTTGTCTTTCTCTTCAAAATATGTCTATTAAATAAGTATTATTAGTTATTTCATGAGTATTTTAAAAATTTTCATTGGCATGAATAGCATGATATGAATTGTAAGTCATGGAGCAATTGATGAATTGAAATAACACAATTATCTAAAATAGAAAAAATATCAAATTTTAACTAGAAATTCACCACTTCCCAATAATATGTTTGATGACTAAAATTCTAAATTAAACAAGTCCACACTCTCATCTTCCTTCTATCCAACAAGCATGGTATAGATTGATGCTATCAAGTCTAAGAATGATTTTTATATAATTCTTTAACACATATTCTCGGGTAAAAATTATTTGGATTTGAAACTTATATGTGATTACACTATTTTGTGTTCATCCTCTCAAGTGAAACTTGCACGAATTTTATGTTTAATTAATTAGAAGATAAATGGGGTGAAAAAATTTGAATTCATGACTATTTGGTCAATAAGGATCTTATACTATGTCAAAAAATCATCCGCACTTAAAAACTTAAATTGTTAGATAAGATTCTATAAATGATTTTTATATGACTTTCTAACATGTATCAAATTAATAGATAAATATCTTAAAAAACAATTTGAAGAATAATCGTACATTACTCTTTTGATGGGCCATAATTTTTTATAAAGGTATTTGATTCACGTAAATTTTATTAACGTATAAAGCTAACTCGGAGTCCCATAGAATATTAGTGATAACCATGAAGCCATCGAGTCTATCTTCAAAGTCAAAATTCTATATAAAGACCTTTTTTTTCATATCCTTTTTGTTTAAAAATATGGCTTCTACTTCTTCTTCTTCATTTTTTTTTTTTTGCATACATTTTGAATATTTATTAATTTGTCGGTGATCTTATTCTTTTTTATTTCAAGTTTGTCTCTCTAACTATTTAAGTTATTTTTAAGTCTCTAGGCATCACTCACCATTGAATTAAATTACGGACTTGTGAGTTTCTATCTATATATTGTTGTTTTTTTGTTTTTAGAGTTTTTGAAAATTAACAAATCTTATCGCTCATAATATGTTACGCCTTTTATATCAATGAGTGAATCAAACTAAACCTATGTACAATATCAATGATTAATCTAAGGGTTTATCCCATATTTCGACTTTGTACGAGTTTTAAATTTTTTGATTAAGACTCTTTATAATTTTTCAGCTTTATTGAAACCTTTTACTCTTCAAAAATTTTTGATTTGGTCCCTTCGTTATTGCCGTTAAAAGCAACCTATCAATGATTGACACATGATATCATGGGACCCATATAATAATTTTTCTATCCGAATTGAAAAAAAATAAAATAAATTGATTTTAACAATAAAATAATTCATAAAATTAAAAAAGAGAAGAAAATATAAAATCATCCCCACTCCATTATTTCCTAACTAATGATTTTTTACGCTTCGAAAAAATCATTCTCTATATCCTCACAATTTCTCTTTTGTTTTCTTTCTAAAAAATCCCCAATATTTCTAAAACACATACCTAATTTCAACATCTATTTCTCCATTTCCTTCCTCATTTTCACTCTCGTTCATAAAATTCATCAAAATTCAATTGTTACCCGACTAAAAACAATCAAAACTTAAGTTTCGTAATTTTTTCAAAAAACAACCACAAGTCCGCAAAGCCGGTTTTTGTAAGTCAATAGTTTCAATGGCTTATACCAAGCAAATAATAAAAAAATCTACATAAGGTAAAGCCTCAAAGAAACAACCAGTCACCAAGACAATCGAAAAATCAACTCCGATCACTTGGAGGAGTTATGAAGCCTCATCGTTTCGGGCTAAAAACAATAGCCTTGAGAGAAATCAAGAAATACCATATCAAAGACAATTGAGTCTGTTGATAAGGAAATTGTCTTTTTAAAGGCTAGAAAGAGACCCAAGAGAGGAGTGAAGTGGGTATTGATAAGAGACCCGGGAGCTAAAAGCATGTTTATCTTCACCAAAATTAGATGTTTGATTTTTCTTCCGTATAAGATGATGAGTTAATGATTGCCTCGATTTCATTCCCAAGCGAGCATAGTATAGTATGTATAATGTGAGCACCACATGATTTTTAATCCAATAAAAATGAATGATTACTTTTATTGGTATTATTATGAATAATCGAACTTAAAATTTGAATATAAGAAAGAGAGAGAGCGAGAAGAGAGGATGGTTTTTTTGGAAAAACAATAATAAGGTTTGAAAATAATGGAGTGGGATGATTTGGTCTTTTCCTCTCATTTTTTAATTTTAAGAATTATTTTATTGATAATATCAATTAAATTTTTTTTTCAGTTTAGATGGAAAAATTATTATTTAAGGCTCATGATGCTACATGTCAATCATTGATAGGTTGATTTTAACATCATCATAACGGAAGGTCCGAATCAAAAAATTTCAAAAGGTTGAAGGTTTCAATCAAACTAAGAAATTACAAAGGATCTCAATAAAAAAAAAAAATTGTACACGTCCCAAATGTGAGGTAAACCCATTAATCCAAACACCTATTTCTTCCATTTAACAAACAATGAAAACGAAATGGTGAAATAATCAATGATTATATACTATTCGAATTAAAGAAGCAACAATTAGGTAGAAATCTCTTACTTCATCACATATTAGGTGGAAATGATACTGTTGTCTTCTTCCTCATCCTCTTCTCCAAAGTTTGTTAACATCTTCATTTTTCTTCTCTGAATGAATATCAATGACGCACTCATTGAGATTGCATACTTTATAAAAGACAATATTGCATTTATCACATTCAATCTTCAATTTACAATGAATAAAGAGCTTAATACGATATTTCACTTCATTCTGTTTCTCTAGATCAGTTTTACAAAAACGATAGAAATTAATTTGCCTACCACAGTACTGTCCTCAGTGCGATTTCATGTGTTTGGATCTTTTTCTTTTTGCTATTGTCAGACAGAGTGAGAGTTATTTGACATTTTTGTTTGAAGAAGAAAAATAAAATGAGAAAGAAAAAACAATGAAAGCCTGGAATGTCTATAATGGTCTGTGGTTTTGTTTCACTTGGTCGACTTGTATTTTAAATTGAACAAAATGTTCATGAGCTACGTATAACCTAATAATAGGTTGTACAGAGTTAGATAATTAAAACGACAACGTAACTGATACTGTTTATGTTTGAGGAAGAATAAGAAAGGGTCAACGCCTTCCTGCATTCATACATCCTTTCTTTTATATTTAAAGGCACATTTACTATTTTTTGTATTAATATCAAGTATATATATGTGTGTGTTATATTTTCATTATTATTGCACCATTTCACCAATTAGTGTTATTAACGTCATTAAAAATTAACATTTTTTATATGCTTACAACATATAATTTTTTCTGACGTTCATTTTGATCCATAAACTTATTTTAATCTTTGTATTTTATTTTTCTTATAAATAAGTTATTAATTGAAAGTTTTTTGGTTATCGTATTTGACAGTAAATACAATTTTGATCAAGTTTATGATTGACATGCAAGGACTTCGTTGAAAAAAATAATTCAGAAACTAATTTAGACACGAGATGGAAGAGACTAATTTGCAAATCGACAATAGAAGTTAGTAACCATCCAAAAGACATTCCAACCCATTTTCTGCCCGCTAGTTGAGGCAACTTGAACTTGTAAGTTTAACAACTCCAATAAACTGAAAAAGCTACATGTTTGAATCGTTTCCTCTTTGCTCTTTAGATCTCTCTTTTCATCTTCTTGTGCAAGCAGAAGCCATGGAAACTTTGGAGGTAACGATGTTTTGCCTAGTGAATATATAGCCAATTGCCATGACATGCACACGACATTGCATACAACAATATCGTCCAAATCCGACAACTAAATTATAACAATAGATGCGTCTCAATTGGAAGATTTGACTCTTGTTTTTATATTATCAATGATTATTTGATACATGTCTAAAACAAATTTAAACAACAAAGACCCTAATCGTAAATGTATTTAAAAAAAGAAAAATCTCAGAATTTTAAAAGAATAATTTTGCTTGACATGCTTTTTTAAATGCTTGTTTGCAAGCTAAATTGTGCCAGCAAAATGACATTTCTATTTCCTGAAATAATAAAGGATTATAGTAATCCTATCAAATAACTATGTACTGTGATATTTTTCAAAAGGTTAAAAATGAATCGATAAAGGTGAATCTCAAATTGTTTTATTCCTTTTATTAATACCAATGAATTATGTTTCTCGCAAAAAAAAAAAAAAAAAAGGTCCATCAGCAGCCAATTGGGCCTGATAAGCTGAAAGAGCAAACATGGCCTATTGACCCGGAAAGACTCATCGAAGGCATACTTAGTGCGCTTCAAGTGAACGAATTTGCCTAGTTTCTTAAAAGCATTTTAGTTTTTACGAAAACTAGAAAAACAACTCCTTTCAAAAATACGTACGTGGTCATGATCACCCACTATATAGTAATAATGAAGGTACAAAACCCAAACACAAACAGAACCCTCTGAAAAATGAACAACATTTGATAGCTCTACATTCGTAAACCCTACCCCTCTCTCTCTATCAACCTCGGTCGTTTCAAATGGAGGACGAAAGGTCTCTCTCGCTTCTTAAGGTCAGTTTATATACAGTACTTTCAACGGATCATTAGTCATTTTTTTGCTGTTTTCTTTCAATTTCTTAAAATTTGTGGTTCGAATCTATATTAAAAAAAATGTTTGTAGTTAATGGTTAATGAAGGACTGTTACCATCTCCAGAAGAAGAAGAGAAGAGGAAGGTTATTATTGACAAGCTCAAAACGGTATTGATTATTCACATTAGCAAATAATTAATTTTTTCTTTCAGAAATTTTTTTATGAATGTGCCCTATAATTGTTGCAGATTGTGGTAGAGTGGGCTAAGAAGGTGGCGTGGCAGCGACGGTTACCAAAAGAACAAATTGCAGCTACATCTGCTACTATATTGACTTATGGATCCTACGGACTTGGAGTAAGTCTTTGTTGTGAAATGCCAATTACTGATGCCTCGTTTTGAAATTTCATTATTGCGGTAGAGTATTTCGAATGCTCATAATGTTTCTAAATTAAGAATAGCGATGGATGACCTCTATGATCCTCTCTGCCTAAATTTGATTCAAACGCTCCAATTTATCATTCTATGTTTGCGCCAATTCTCATGTATATATTTTTTTAAATCAAGCATAGCATTCTACTATAGGCTTTATGCGCGTGAATTTGGTTTGAATGCACCAAGCAGTTGATGTGTGTTTACTAATTTCCATCACATACTTTGTGTTTGTAAAAATGCGTTTTTGAATTTTATCTGTTTGGTTCATTTAGGTTCATGATCCAGAGTCTGATATTGATGCTTTATGTGTCGGTCCTTTCTTTGCGACTATAGCTGTAAGTTTTCTCTGTTTTCTGCTCATCTAGTTTAACCTTGTGGACTGGAATAAATATTGTCTCAATTTTTGTATTATTCATTACTCGTGTAGGAGGACTTTTTTATTGTTTTGCGCAACATACTCAAGAGCAGGCCTGAAATATCAGAAATTCATTGTGTGAAGAACGCCAGAGTTCCTTTGATGAGGTTTAAATTTGATGGGATTTCAGTTGATCTTCCATACGCTCAGCTTAAAGTATTAAATGTTCCCAATGTAAGTGTGCATACCTTAGATTTGAACATATTTTATGGTGGATGAAACATTCTTCTCAGCATGATTCTTGCAGTGTTTTTTTCCGTGTTAGGATTGTGTAGATGATTAAAGTATATTTTTTACTCTTTTTTTCTTTCTTAGAACTTCCTTTCATTGTATCTAGCAATGCGATTAATGGATGCACTATATGCTGTTTCAGTTTTATCAATTGCTTTCCCTTTTCCCTGTTGATAATGAGGATATTTGACATTTCGACTGGCTGAACTGCAGAATGTGGACATACTCAATTTATCCCTTTTGACTAATATTGACGAGACCAGTTGGAATAGTTTGTCTGGAGTACGTGCTAATCAACGAATACTGCAACTTGTCCCAAATCTGAAGGTAGATATTCACCCAACACCCCCACACCCTCCCTCCTCCCCCTCTTTTTTCCATTCACACCAAGGACTTAAACTCTTGACCGATTCACAATGCACAATGCCAGTACACGTATCGGCCTTGACACCTTAGTTTCCATGGTAGCTGGTACTTGTCTTTGAGGAGAATGCCCTTATTTATTCACAAGATGCTTTTGTACACCTTAATTCTGTTACAGACATTGCATCAATATTCACTAAGGTGTTGTTTGGTAACAAGAAATGAAATGATGAGAATGAAAATGAAAATTCTATTCCCACTTTGTAGGTGTTTGGTTGAAAGGAATGGGAATAAAGAGTGAAAATGGGAATGAAAATTAAACATACTTTCATCCCCAGGGGGAGTTGGGAAAAAAAACAAGGAATGGGATGATATTTTATTTTCTTATTTTTCCCAAAAGAATGATATATTATTTTTATTTATTGTATAACAACTACTTCCACTACCATCACCACCTCAATTGCTGCCCACCGCCACCATTGGCAGTGGTTTATGGAATTTGAGTTTCTTTAGGTGATGGTAATTTCCTGCACTGATGCATCAGCACTAGAAGCCTTCCTTCGGAACAACCTGGGCCCATATACAGAGCCTTTTTAAACTAGAATTCTCTATGGGTTCTAATAGGCTGACATCCAGGAGGATGCTAATCTTAGGATCTATACAACACATGCTGTTGCCACTATAATGACTTACGTAAGTGGTTTGCTTGCTATAGATTTGAGAGGTTTTTTCAGATTCCAGTAATTTGTTATAGCAGTTCTTTCATGAGTATCAGATTTTGCAAATCTTACCTATTTTGAAATGGTGTTTCAGAATTTCCAATCAATGCTGCGATGTCTTAAACTGTGGGGGAAAAGGCGAGGAGTGTATGGTAATGTAAGTGCAATGTGCATGTTAGTTATATTAAGTTTCATGCTTTGCTTCTATCTGAGATGAGCTTTATCAGAGTCTTTTTTCCTGCAAAATATGTATCCAAGTAAATCGGCATTTGTTTGCAGCTAAATGGGTTTCTAGGAGGAGTGCATTTAGCTGTTCTAGCAGCCTTTGTTTGTCAAAATCATCCAAACGCCAGTGTAATTGCTTTAATTTCGTACTTCTTTAGTACATATGCTATTTGGCCTTGGCCAACACCTGTAATGCTGCAAGATGGAATGCCATCAACTGTTGAAGATGTGATCGAGACTCGATATTACATGCCTATTCGTTTGCCATGTAGTCCATATGAGTATTGCCATTCCAATGTCACTAAAAGCACATTCAACAAGATCAGAGCAGAGTTTCTCAGAGGACATGCAATGACTAAGGTATGTTTATTATATTATTGAGACCATAATATCTTGACTATTTCCTTACACTGTGACTTGCTTGTGGTGTTTAGCACTTTTTCTTCGGAGGGAGGGGCAGTTGGGGAGGTTTGGTTTGGGGCCTAGTTCCTTAATCTGATGGGATGTTGTTCTATATATTGATCCTGTTCTCGATGGTTAGAGAGAGCTTAACTAAAGAGAATCTTATACTACCGACAGTATGTAAAACTGTTTTCTTACAAAACAGGATCTTCTAAAGCTAAAGCTGGACTTTGACTTGCGGAGAATTTTTGAGCCGTTTCCATACTCAATGAACTATACACGATTTGTCAAAATCTACCTTTCAGCTCCCAATCAAGATGAGCTAGGAGACTGGGTGGGCTGGGTGAAGTCACGCTTTCGCTGTCTACTTCCTAAGGTAACTGGCTTATATATGCTCCTTGATTTTGGTAATCTAATGGGCATGTATTCACATATGAACTATTTGTGTGAAGATGTTGCCTGAATTAGGACATAAAGATGCAAACGAGATTTAGGAACACTAGTTTGTATGTATAGCTTGGCAGATGGCCTCATTAGGCCCTCCATTGCCTCTGTAGTCTTAAAGAATCTTTCCTTCTGGAGTTATACAATGCAAGGTATAATGACTCCAATCAGATTGATTTTAACTTCATTGTATTGCTTTTGTGGGTATTCTCAAAATAATTGATCTAATAGTATTCATCAATCTATTTAAACTTATTGTTGTTCTTTAATCTCATGATTTGGTTTCGTCTTCCTTTCAATACTTTCTGAGATTTTATTTGCTGCAGCTGGAAGCCATGCAAGGCTTTTGTGACCCCAACCCCACGGAATATGTTGATATGGATGCATCTGAACCAAATGTTGTTTTCTACTGGGGACTAAATCGCAGTAGAAGCAATTTCATGGATATAGAATCGGTCGAGGAGGATTTCTTGAGGAATATATGCAGTGGCTATCATGGCATTTGTCAAAAGATGGAATTATCTATTGTGCTAGCTTCTGAACTACCTAAGGGTGCTCAGTTAAACAGTGGGAATGGCAAGAAATTGAAAGCATGCTGGAAGATGCTTGACTACCATCAAAGGAGGACCCCGGCGTATTCGCAACATCTGCCAAGCTACTTTGTTGGGTATGTGGAAAGTAATGGAGACACCGAGTACCCTCGTGCCGGGGGATAAGATTTTACTGTATGCTCTCCGACTCTCTGTTCTGGTAATAATCTTGTTTTGCCATCTTGCCTTGGGAATTTTGAGTGGGTTTAGGGTTTATAGTGGATTGAGCAATTTAGTTTGTGACGGCATATTAGCTTTAAAACAATATAAATGGGATAGATTCTAAAGATATTAAAAAGAAAGGATGGGGTTTGGATCAATGCTTTCCTTCTAATCTTTTTTCTTTTACATTTGTTTCATTGAGTTGACAATTGAGCCCATAAGAAAACGAAGTTGGGCAGGTTAAAACCCTATTTTTTGTATTTCATGATTTGCCCTCTTCTTACTTAAGCCAACATGAACCCTTAACCTCATTAATCAACTCCATTCGACTTTTGACCTAAAGCAACTGTCAAGTTCTTGTGCGACAGTTTTTTGTTACAAACTTTAAAGCGGATATTTCTGAAGACTTTGAACAAGTGAGACTGTAAATTTGCCAAAGATGGTACCGACAATGCTGATAAAGAGACTAATTCGTGTGGAGAGGTTCCATTATCAATGTGGCGGTTGCTAATGCGAACAGAATCTCCATGATCAAGACTACAGGAAGATTAAGATTTTGGCATTTCGAACTTCTTTTCCCAAAAACAACAGGATGATAAAGAAAGGAAGAACATCAGCTTTTCTTTCACAAGAAGTGACAGCCCAAAAAATAGTAGGGACATGACCCTGGCCCATCGCAATACCCAAGGCCCTGCCCCACTCTGATTTCCGTAATTGTTGGTTTTAACATATTTTATCGTCTACTCTGTCCATTTCAAAAAAAAAATATATATATATTCTATTAAACTTTTACGTGTTGTGCTTTCTTAGCATATTGCTTTACGTATTGTACTTTGATAACATATTTCTTATTAAAGTTTATTCTGCAAAAAAAATGTCCAAATACAATTATTAAAAAAATATTTTAAGAAAGTATAAAAAACAATTACTGAAATGACATAATGGTTAAGAATTTGAAAATGAATAAGGCAATTTGATGTGTGTATTGTTAATTTTTTTTCTTTATTTTTAATTATAAGAGCTGTGAAATTTATTTCAACTAGTAAAAGACACTATGGATCTATAATTGGATTTAATAAATGTATTGTATAGTGTAAAACGAATTTAATTTGTAAGAAAATGATAGAAATTGTAAGCAATCTTACATATATGTTAAGAATTTGAATCTTAAATGGATGAAGAATTGATATTACTTATACCAACACATTGAGATGATCAGGTTGAAAGTCGGCTTGCTTATTTACAACTAATATATAATCACAATCAGACCACCAGTGATATTTGCTTATACCAACACACATTGAGTGTATTTTTACTATTAGACGAAAAAATGTGGACGGTGCAATCTTAGGATTTGCTGACTTGTATCGTTATGATCACAACGTGCTTGTTTCTAATCTCACCAAGTTCGGAGTCTAATTCAACAACATTTGTTAGTAGCATTGAAGAGCTAATTCCTTATTAGGAAAATTCTTTTGAGAAGGAATTAGCCTTTAATCGCTACTGAGTAAATTCTTTTCCTGATAAGGAATTAGCTTTTCAAATGCTACTCACAAATGTTCGTATTGAATTGCAGAAACAAGACGTTTATTTCATATTTCTCTACCTCTTCCCTGAGGCCTTTAACATCTATAAAAGAACCAACCTTCTTCAATAATTACCACCGAGCAGAATATCAGTAATCACAACCAATAGGCACTAGAATAAACTAAATTTTCTTCTCTATCCCAAAAAGCAATATCCTAATTCCAATAACGATGAAGAATTTCATGTCCATAAGTTTTATGTTTCTTTCTATCACCACCTTTTTACTATCTATAAGCCAGTGTGCTGTTGTCCCATCTGATGCCAATTTGATACAACAAATATGCAAGAGGACACCAAACTTCGATCTCTGTGTTACTTCTCTTGCGTCAGACCCTCAAAGCTCAACAGCAGATGTAAATGGGCTAGCACTCATAATGGTGGATGTGCTGAAGGCCAAAGCTACCTCAACACTAAACCTCATCAACCAGCAGCTTACAAAGAGTCCAGCGTTAAAGCAACCTTTGACCTCATGTGCTAGCAATTATAATGCAATCTTGACAGCTGATATCCCTGAAGGTATTGAAGCTTTGCAGAAGGGTGATCCGAAGTTTGCCGAAACTGGTGCAAATGATGCTGCTGTTGAGGCTGATATATGTGAAGCAGGTTTCAAAGGCAAATCTCCGCTGACCAATTCGAATAAATTGGTCCATGACACCTCAGCTGTTACTGCTGCCATTGTCAGGAATTTGCTTTAGGAAAATGGAACATTTCTTTCCTTAGTAGATTTGCTACTTCTTAATTGGTGTGTCTTCTAATATTTTGGTCATTATTTGCCTTGCCGATTTCATTTGTTTCTGATCATGGTTTTCTTCCTCGTGATGGAGTTTCATAGTGCACAACAAATTTCATAGTGGATCGTGCCGGCTTCCATTTTTTTTTTTAAAGTTGAATTAGCCAAGATTAACAAAAGACATACTAGTTCTGTTTAGATAGCAGAATTAAAATATTTATGAAAAATTATGGGATCTTTTGGTATTATTTATGGGTTATATTTTTAAAATTTTGGAAACAAAAACACAAAACTAGTTTGTTTTTAAAAAACAAAACTAACTACTAACACAATCTTTGAAAACCATTTTGTTTGGTTTTGAAAAATTTTAACAACTGTTTATGTGTTTTTTTAATGTTTTTAAAAAGAAAAAACAAACAATGTGTTCTGTTTTTATTTTAAAAAAAAAAAAACAAAATTAGTGTCAAAACTCTTATATTTCAAAACATGAACCTGAAATCAAAGCTAATTAACAACGCTTGAATATGAAGTATATTTGCTTGCCAATCGGAAACACCGATTCCCAAAGTTTAAATTCAAAGTTAAATTTAGTAACGACGATCATAGTGATTAAGAAAAATCTGCTAGTGCAATAAGTAGACCACAATGATTGCAAAAAGACAAAAGAAACTCATCAAATTAAAGTGGAAAACTTAAAGATAAACAAGCACAAATCTATTTGACAACCAATCACTTTCATAAAAAAAAAAAAAAAAAAGGCCATCAATGAATTTTAAAAAGAAGGAAGGTAGAGCAGGAAAAGAAAAGAGGAAGGAAAAAAAAACCAATGAATAAAATAGACACATAACTTCTAGCGTAAAAAATAAAGCCCAATAATTGCACAAAAGCAACAGAAGGTCAATGAAACTGAACCAATAAACTCAAAGAAAAGCTAACAAGCTAATGCACAAAGAAAAATGAAAATAAAGACAAAAGAAGAGAGATGCTGGCCTTAAAACCACACGAAGAACCTAGAAAGACGCACGAGATCAAACAAACAATGGCACCAAGAAAATAAAGGGCGTAAAGAAGTAGAGAAAAAGATGACTTGAAAGAAAATTTGAAGGACAGCCAAGAATAATTAAAAAATGCCAAACACCGAAGGGAGAGTGCCAAAAAATGGAAGAAAATGATGACTGTCTTGGCCCTAAAAGCAAAGAAAGGAAACCTAAAAAAACAAAAAACAAAAACAAAAACAATAGAGGCACATATCTCGTTCTGATGGAACTGGAGACAGGGAAATACAATGCATAATGAACTGGAGGAATAAGAAAAATGAAAAACCTGTCAAAAATCAAGAGTTAAAGAGAAAAGATTCAATTGTCAAAACCAAAAGAATGGGAGTGGAAGAACACAAACCAGGAAAGAAAAGGTGAAAACATGCAAAAATTATTTAAAAGAACAAAGAAGAATAGAATAAAGTCTGAATGATAAGACAGAAATTTATGCTAAAAAGCAAGACCAATTAACGAACAAACTTTAAAAAAAAAAAAAATTAATAGAGAAAACCAAACTATCGTGAAAGGAGATGATATAAGATCAACGAGGCGATAGCATAATACAATATCACTGAATGATCATCTACAGTATATATGAATGTGAATTTACAGTAAATAAATAGTAATAAGTTCAGTTTTTTTACATCCACATCCACAAAAAATGATAAAAAGATTTCCACGTCCGTTCAAATTTTTTTATTTTCTCTCTCCTGTTTCTCTTTCACTTTTTTTATGTCTATCTCTCTCCTCAAAGTAATGCTCATGTAAGTAACTATTATACATGTCATTAATTACTCTTTCGGTATTATAAAATTTATTGTAGATATTGAGATTGAGATTTGAGAAGATAGATAATAATAATACTTTTAAAAAATAAAAAATAAAAAGGAAAAGAAAAGAAAAGGATGGTTGCTGCAATGGGCTTGATCCACAGTAACAAGATCCATGGTGGGTGATTCACGAGTTGAATTCCCAATGGGAGCCCTTTTGTCCATTTGTTTGATCAGATACTGAAACTTGAGATATAACCCTAAACAGTAGTCTTCACTTTTGTCTTGACATATCATGGTGCGGCTGCCTGTCATTGGTCCAACTTTGTTTGGATCACGAAAGGTGCAATTTTTTTGGGCAGCAAAATTGCAAGAACTTCATTCCAAACCAGTGCTATTGCCAAGCTTAGATCATTCCAGAAGTTCACGAGCCAGTTTGTGAGATGCTTCTCCTAACAAACGAAACAGACAACTGAGGGACTATAAAGAAAAGGATGTCACTGGAGGCCACGAATTATATACCACGTGTCCTTCAAAGCATGGCCCGCATTTAGATCTCAAGTAGATCCCCTGACGTTAAATATATAAATTTTTTTTAAAATAATTAATGTTATATACAATAGTTATTTAATAAATCTGTTTAAAAAAAATATATAAACTTATAAAATTATATTCGGATCTATTAAAAGTGATAAAAAATTTTTTATGTTTTCAAATTTTTTAAAAAATTTTCTCTCCTATTTTTTTTTTTTATCTATCTCTTTTCTTGAAGTGGATTGATAAAGTAACTATTATATCTATCATTACTTATTCCTTTAAGTATGATAAAATTTTTCAAATATATGGGTTTGCAAATTTTATTTTATTTTATTTATTATTTTTTTATGAAAGGATTTAAGTAGTGTTTAACTGTTTACATTCTGAGTTTTTGTTTTTCAAGAAATCTCTTTCTTCGAATTTTTTATGTATTTACTAAATTCAAGATAATAATATTAAAAAAATAATTCATTTACAAGTCGAATTATCATCTCAAAAGTTTAATTAAGATGAAATTCTAACTCAATTTATACTAACGCAAAAGATTTTTGTAATTAATTATTTCATTATCTATAACTTGAGCTTATAAGCTTTTTATGTAATGATTAATGTGATCACGAGTTGAGTACTTTACAACTTAGCATCATAGTATAATGTGAATGCAACTCATTTTAAACTGGAAAAGTGTGATGACAGAAAACGTCCACGAATCGACACATTATATAAACCAGACATTGCAGAACACATTAACCATCCATTGTTTTATAACATATTGCATTATTACAAAAGCAAACCACCAAAATCTTTCATTTAACAGTGTCCCCAACCAAACTAATCCAACTTCCCTTTCTGCTCAACCCTACACCCTCATTTTGGTTCTGCCAAAAAAATGAAAACTTCAGTCACTTCACTGTCCATTATTCTTCTTTACATTCTCCTTCTCTCAACTCCTTTACCATTAACCCAATGCGGTGATCTAATAGACCAAATATGCAAGAAGACACCCTTTCACGACCTTTGCGTCTTGTCTTTACAGCCAAACTCCGGCACCAATGTTAAATCTCTAGCCTCTGTGATGGCTAATCTTGTTTTGTCCAACGCAACCGACACCCTTAATTACATTCAAGGGCTAGTTAAACAGGCAACTGGGACACCATTAGAGAGGCCATTGGCTGACTGTGCAGAATTGTACATACCAGTTGTTAAGTACAATCTTCCTCAAGCCATTAATGCTTTGATTAGAGGAAGGTATGGATTTGCTAATTACGTTATTTCTGATACTGCTAAACAAGCTGATGCTTGTGAAAAAAATTTCTCAGGTGAGAATAAATCTCCATTAACTGATAGGAATAAGCTTATAAGCAATCTTTGTGATGTTGCTGTAGCCATTATCAGAATATTGCAGAAGGGTTTGTAATTATATATGTTCTGTTTCTTCTTCTTTTTTTTTTCGGTCATTAATTAGTGTTTATTCTGATGTGTACTAGTTCACTTCATTGGTGGACAGAATTAACTAGAGTTCTTCGGGTTTGTATCTAAGATTTTGCACTTGATGCAGCAGTTCTGTTTGAACCAGTGAATTATTGTCATGGTGGACAAAATTAACTAGAGTTCTTCGGGTTTGTATCTAAGATTTTGTACTTGAAGCAGCAGTTCAGTTTGAACCAGTGAATTACTGTCATCTTTAGTCTTCCTTATTTTCTTCTTCCATATAAGCATCTTTTTGCCTGTTTCGTTTCGTTTCGTTTTGTTTTGGACTTGGATGCCAAGTGTTAAGATGGGTTTGGCCCAAGTTAACTCAAGGTTCTTTTTTTACGTTCTCCAAAGAAATCAACCCAAACCCAAGTGACCAAAGCACGTGGGAAGGTTACAAATATTTTATTAAACTTCCAAGTAGTTAAGCAAATTAGCTACCAAAGTTTGCTGCACTTTTCCAGTGATCTTAAGATCTGTGCAGGATTTGAGTATGTTAGAATTGTAGCGAAGCTCATTATGATTCCGATGGACCGAGTTTCAAATAATAATTTTATTTATTTGTGGACTGTAGAGGCATGGCATAAGCCTAAATTTCTGCTAAATCGGTAAGGCCCACAGCAACCATGACCATGCCTATAGGTTTGTGCTGCCAATCTTATGGGCTAGGCAGGGATAATTAGTTTGGTCCAAAGGTAATTGGACACGAAGCAAACTTATTGTGCCAATAAATGAGACGCTTATGGATATAATTGAACGAATGTATAAGCCGAAACCAGGGAAGGAAAAAATAAAATAAAATAAAATCTCAAGTAATGAAAATTAAATGGAAAAGGTCATTTTATAGTCTCTCAAGTGTTTTATTTGATCAAATGAACCCATCGAGCTTATTTCTGGTCAAATTAATTCCTTTGTTTTTCAATTTACTGATAACGAGTATCTCTGTCCACTTATATGCATACATGTGGCAGCTATCTAAATCAAATTAGAACTCCATAAAGGAATGGTTTGGAGCGCAATATGATTAAAAGTAGAGGGGTTATTTGGACTAAATTTTGAGGCTTGAGGGACCATGCATGCATAATTTTGTCCAAAAATAAATAGCGAGGCGTGAAGCAGAACATCTTAAAAAAAGTGAGGAAGAACTGAATAAGAGAGAGGCGAAGTCCTCGGTGGTGAGGAACTGATCATTTGGAAGGAACACACACACATATTTATGTTCACAACTAAATCAAAATGAGGTGTCAACTACGTACCACTTCTCGTCATGGTTAAGATGAGAAATTGTTGGAGAGATTTAATCTATCAATTTATCTATAGATTAAGCTAATATATAATACATAATATATGGACAGATTCATTACATCATCTCATGATTTATTTATGTAAATATTTGTTTAATATATAGATAAGTCATCAAAAAGCTTGTAGCTCAATAATAACATAAGATTATAGATTTAAATACTAACGGATTAATTTTATTAGGAACACGAGATATGTGAGTAGTATATATATTGACAAAATAAAACTAAATGTGTCCAATAATTATTTCCAATAAGATATTTGTTGTCCTCGCCCAATATTTGATTTTCAATTTCGTCAACACACGGGTCTATAAACAATAATAAAGAAAAACAAAAAATGGGAACCAAGGAGCTTTTGGGTTTAAAGTACCAAAATGTGCTCATCTGATTGTCTATCTTCCTATGTTCCTGTTCCTGTGACTTTTGCTGTTTTCCTAGTAGCTTCTTCTACATTACCTCACGATTAGAATAAAAAAAGAATCCGGAAGGCATCAATGAAGATGCATGGTATAATTTGGAGTTATCCACGGGTTAAGACAAAAGGTGAAGTTGGTCGTTTTAGAGCCCACACACTTTGCAGACATTGACTTCAAAGAGCAAGCTAGAACGCGAGTCTGCTTGGTGCTTACCCAAGACCAAGTCAAAAACCTCAAAAATTTTAAGCACCGGTTCACATCTCCAAGTGATTTTGAAAGAAGAGGACAGTAATTAAGAACCAACAATGGATCCCCAAATACGGCTTCATTTGTTAATGTTTTTCTCGTTGTTTCTTTTCTTTCAGTACATTACTTGTCAGACTCTAATGCCATCTTCTTTCGCGATGGAAACAAGCTTAACTATAATCAAATTTCTTAAAATAATAAACGTCAGCCAGGGCATTTTGTCCCTTCACCAAATATATAACGGGAAGTGTAAACGCAAACTCATCCTGAACTAGTAAAGCATGGTAATAGATTAGAAACTACATACATCGAGACACTATTTCCACCTTTCTTCACAGGGAAACACTTCAGCAATATATTCACTCTAACACATGTCATGAAATCCAATATCGTATCGGAAAGAGAAGCCTAACTCCCTGTTAAAAATCATCCAATCACCATTCACCACACCGAAGCACCAAGCCTAGCTATCTATCTTCATGCCTGCAGAGATGAAACATCATATTCCTTTATCATCCTCCTTCTTCCTTCTCCCTTCTCTCCTCCTCTTGTTTCTTGCACCACTAATCCAATGCGGTGATTTGATAGACAAAACTTGCAAGAAGACACTGGATTACAATCTCTGTGTTTCATCTCTACGATCAAATTCTCAAAGTTGGGATGCAGATGTTCAAGGTCTAGCTGGCATAATGGCAAATATAACTTTGTCAAATGCAACTGATACGCTAAATTACATACAAGTGAAAGTCAATCAGACCACAGATCCCAAGCTAGAACGATCCTTAGCTTACTGTGCTGAAGTGTACATCCCAGTTGTGCAGTACATTCTTCCCCAAGCTATCATCGCCTTGAATAGCGGTCGCTATGGATTTGCCAAGTATGGGATATCTGATGCCGCTGATGAAGTTGATTCATGCAAAGGGTTGAAGGAATCACCACTGACTGATAGGAACCAACTCGTGCAACGCCTCTGTGGTGTAACTGTGGCCATGGTCGATGCATTGCTGAAGAAATGATTAACTCTATCTATATCCCTTGGATCAGTTTCTTTTATTACCTAATTTTCTTGTTCCATATATCACGCAATATCACATCTTGGTTGTCTTTTGCATGAAATAGGTATGGGGCATAAATTAATTCCCAAACTAAAATCTTCATATAGTACGATGGTGTTAGGAGATACCAACAATATCGACGGAGAAATAAAATCAAACAAAATTAAAGTCATTTAACGCTAAGTTCAAGAAAAGAGAAAAAAACAAATACAATTGCTTTCAAACACCCATCCATAAGCAAAGGGAAACACTTGATCCTATTGACAAACAATAACAACAAACCTAACAGAGAATACCAGATCGTTCCGTTAATTTAATTAATACGTCAACATAGCTCTATTTCATACCCCACCAATGGCAGGCTACCATCACCGTATGGTCATTTTAGCTCGCATGCCTGAAACAAACGTATCCATAAATGGTACTATTTCTTATCTACGAAATATTCTTACCCATTCCTAATTCCCTAACCCATTTTGTTCAGCAAGTATGAAATAACAAAATATGTATACAGAACAAGATACGAGACTTCATTTAAACCTAACAAATCAGTTCACAAACAACTCTCCTTCAGTTTCATTTTGGAGTTCTATACACAGTGAGTTGGCTGTAAGGAGGCAACTTATCATAGCTGGCTCAGCCTATAAAAGGCAGCACTCGACTATATTTTCCCCAATAATCCACTAATAAACTTCTTCGGTAATCTAACTCACTCCCCATTTCAAACGCTATACACGCAGGGGATAAATTACCGGACAGACTAGGATTTTGGAGGGCTATTGATACCGAAAGTGCAAGTCATATGGCTTGCATGAGAACTGCAAGGCTAGGTAAATTTCTTTCACCAATACATGCTTGACTACAGTTAGCTGTCTGCCTGCCTCCTTTCCTTGCTCATCTCACAGCTCTTCTTGGAATTTTAGGAGGATCTGAACCAGCAACTGACTCTATGAAACTGCAATGTGTCAATAAAACTGATAATTATTGTACTACACCGAAACATAATATTAACGCCCACATGACTAAAGCAGAATGTGCAAAGGGCAAAATATAACAGAAGATCAGTCCTACTGATTGTGAACTATGACATACTTTGTAGACCCAGATCCAGATCCATTAGACTCGCTTGCAGATGGATTCCCAAAGTATTGAACTGAAATCAAATCGTCATCTGCTGTCTCTGATGACAAAGGAGATCCCAGCGAGTTTGCAGATGTAGCTCTTGATGACATTCCTGCAAAATGAATAGCATGGCATTAAGAACATAAGTTAGTAAAAAGAATAAAAATGTATGCAAAAAAAAATGCCAGTAATGATTTCTGTCTTGAAATGATCTCTTGCTAAAAATTATAGTTAAAATGTTCGGTGAAGCTTCCTTTCAGCCAGGCAAAATTATCATTTTATAACAGTTAAACAGTTAGGGAAGCACAGATAAAAGGGATCATAAAAGAAAAGATAGAGCAAGAAAATAATGGTAGAGAGAAAGAGAGAGAATGCATGGAATTTAATCATCTTTTCGCAAAATCGCCAAAAAATTATGTTTGGAATATTAGAGGAAGCAAGAAAAAGAAAATAGACGAACAACGCTAAAACATGATTCAAAGTCATTTTAAAAACTAGAACCCTGTCACACATAGCCAACATTATACACTCTGGACAAGATTTTAAAAATCTGTTTCAGCATAAGATAACAGAATAAATCACAATTCAGAAGCCTACCGCCTTTACACAAATAAACTCTCTTGAGAAAGAAACTATATGGAGTGGAGCTATAACCAAAAAACATACGCTGAAAATGGACAATAAAATGCACACTTTCCACTACAAAGATGTCAAAGTATACATTTGAATGATTGGGAAATTCAACCATAAAGAAAAACTATGTAGTCCGGCTCGAAGGCACGTATAATTTCACCCACTTAACATCATATCCAAACTGTTAGCTGGAACTAAGTATAGGTTAGAAACCAAAGTGGTAATGCAGTGAGAAAATCTTGCACAAGCATTACCTTGAAAGAGAATCACTAAGCAGAATAGAATGGTGAACACCATGGCAAATAGATTGCTATTTGATGATGCTTTTGTAGCTTTCATTTTCTTCAAGGCCTTCATTCGCTCAATCCTTGCACGCTTCAACATGGCTAATTCAGAAATCTCCTTGATCAGCTTCTGGTCAGCAGCATCCAAAGATGGACCTCTTGGAGGCCTGGGAGGCTTTTTATTGCTCGTCTTTTTACGCTTCTCCTTTACTGTTTCCTTCTCTACTTGATCAACAGACATTTGCCCCTCCAACTTCACCTGGTCTGCAGAACCACCACCAGAATTTGACACATGCCCACACAAATTTACCCTCTCTTCACCATTGGCTGTCCCATCAGTGAATGCCCCACAAACCTTAGCGAGCAGACACTTTGTTGCTCCCGAACTCGCATCTTTACTTGAATCTTCTACACTATTTCTCACCCCGCTTTCAAGATCAACCTCAAAATCTCTATCTCTTGGAGCTATATGATCCATTTCCAATAACAAAGCCAAACCAATCTCTTGACCTTCTCCTCACACTCCAAACAATCAACGCCCCAAATAGATTCCCACGACTCTGGCCACTAAAAAAATCAACCCTCAAAGTCAACCCATCATAGGAAAATGATCTATTTACACACTAAATTATAAAGTACGATGAGCAGTGACAATAAAGACACCCCACTTCATCCAGTAAACAACACTTTCCAGTTATAACTGGTAAATGAAGACATGCAAAGTCTCCAATAATAGTAAACTGAGTTGCCTTTCACGCCTGTGTTGCCTTTTCACTAATAATGCCTCAACCTTTGTCTTCTTCTTCAGAAATCCAGAATGCAAATCTCAAAATCAATCACAAAAACTAACAAGACCCTGCATTTTGATTAATGAAATAAAAAATTAGCCACAGCCCAAATGCAGTAATGAACCAAAAACTAGAGTCTTTGCTTCAATCCGTAAAGAGGACATAAGTGGAAAAAAAAAAGGCAAAACAAATAACATGACTTTAACATTCCTTCACAAAAGAGGGAAAATAGAAAAGCACCCATGTAATAAGCTTAAAATTTGATGATAAAGCAAAGAACCCATTAAGCCTTGAAAATAAAGCAAGGAGCAAAACTTTTGAAGCACAAATCAAACCCACAAAGCAAAACCACAAAAACCAATCAGTACATTACCAATTATGGATCAAATACACAAATTCAAAGCACCTGATTTTTTTTTTTACTCCATTAAAAAAAAAAGAGGAAAAAAAGAGAGTGGATATGTACCTTGAAGAGAAAGCGAGAAAACCTCAGATCCGATGCAGACAAAAGCAGTCAAAATGGCTGTATCTATATATGTATCGATGAATGTAAGAAAAAAATTAAAGTAACAGATAAAAATACACTAAATATAAAGAAAAGAGACAGAAAGAATGCGAAAGCAGCGAGATACAAGGGGAAAACACGAGGGGTTTCAGTTTTTTTGGGCAAAAAGAATGCAAGATTACAGGGAAACTACTCCAACAATAACAACACTTCTGGTAGTTACTAAAACCTAAAATTTTTGAATCCTAAATATTTAAAGAAAAAAAATGAAGAATTGATTGAATTTTCATTTTTGTTTGGGTCTCTTCTCCGCGTTTATGCAGTGACTGGCTGACTAAGGATCATATAAATACTGCTTAATATATTTGTTTGTTGCTTATAAAAACCACGTGATGTGCTGCTTGTCTTGGAAACTTCACCGACACTTGGCACGGCACCTGTAACCCATTTCGTTTTTTTTTTTTTTTTTGGCCCTTTCAAAAACATTTGTCGTATTAGACCCTTGTAATAAATGACATTTATTTTCTCTAGCGATTTCTCATATATATTATCCTTAACAATAAATAGTATAAAATTTTCATACATTGCAAGTTTAAAATTTAGCAAATTTATTGATTTATATCCATGGCATTTTCCTATGTCATCAATGCCGGTGGAATTGGATGGAAAGTGGAAGCAACTTATTGGTTTCATCATCACTTTTGAAAAGAGTATCTCCGTCGGGATGAGCTCTTCAAAGATAAAAAAAAAAAAAAGATTCATTGCCTGATTCTCAACTAGATATTGCTAGCATGCATCCGAATGAACCAATTAAGTGTGTTTCAATAGAAATCTTCTTTAAAAAATTGCAACATTTTATAGATATAATATTTTGCAACGTTTCGATGAGGTGTTTTGCTATAGTTTTTGAATCTTATTTTTCTAGCAGCCACTGCACAGTGACAGGATTTACAACTTTCAAGTGGCCATAACGAGGACTCCAACCTACAAAATTATAAACGTTAAACGCAAATTAATGTACGTAGTTCAGCTGGATCAGATTCCGGAATATTTTATCCCTCCTCCTTCCACTTTCCACTTCTCCTAATTGTTACATTTTTAGTTATCTTTTTTATTCCCCCTTACATATATTAATTTAGACAATGATTTTCTTTTATTTTCGGATTCTTTTTAATCTACGTGAATGATAAGGAATCTAAAATTAGCTAATTTATTTATTTAGATTGAAATTCTATCTCAATTTTTTGTTGGGTTCTAATATCTTCTTTTTTTTTTTTAGTATTCGTATTCGTATAATTAGATAACTCAGTAATTAGATAAGAAAATGTAAACCCCAAAGAAAAAAACTATTCCTTCGTCTTGGCAAATGGCAAAGCCAATTCAAAACATTGAGATTAATTTGAATCTTACTCTCCATACATAAGTACTTCGGCTTTAATATATATACTTCTACAAATTAAGTACTTTCGAGAAGTGAGATTATTTTCTTTGCGATGGTACCATGACAATGATGACCTTTCCCCTCAATCCAGCGAGGCACATACGAGTTTCTGTTGAATGCCGATGCTCGTGGGGCTAGCTAGTTGACCATTCACCGCGAGAAAGTCACCCAGAATTCAATTTTCCTTTGTCTTGTGAGAATTCTAATGTTGTTATGGTTGGTAGATGTTATTGTGCTTTATGCTGGTCGAGGTAAAGAGGTGGGACCAAAAGGGAAGACGGGAAAATCAATGTTCTATCAAATGACACGTAAATAACAACGGGTCAAAATTTTTACTTGCAATAGAAATGATAGTGGAGGAGACTTTGTTTCTTTGAATGTAAATGTTAAGATAGAAATGATTGATCTCATTGGAATGAGAACTCATTGTGACAATATAAAGGTGGCTGATGGGATGAAAAGGTTACATGGTCTAGATAAGGAGGGAAAAGAAATCTCTGTGGGTTTGAACACTGCAATAACTGAGAAAATCATCCGAGATCAAGAGAGTGTTCGATGGGTTAGAGAGAAAAACAAAGTGGAAAAAGAATGAGAAATTTGGTGGTGGAAAAGGTGAATGGAGGAAATTTGGTTGCTATGTATTGGTTGAGAGGAACGTATTGAGAGGAATGGACGAAAGATTGGAATTAACCTAGCTATGAGATTAGGCACACTCGCCAAATTATTAGATGCATGTGGGAATGAGTGATTTTTCCCAAAGTTATTACATTCTCTATGTTGGGTCGATGAATGCCTGATCCAACAAACTTCTCATATTCCTGCAGGTTTGAATTAAAGCTAAAGTTTCTTCTGGTGCTGCCAAACAATTTTGCTGATTAGCTAGTTTGTCCTTGCTTCTTATTACTGTTTGTTGGATTGCGTTCTTTAATTAGTTGTTGCTGAATTTTCTTTGTTGTTCCCTAAATTCATTTTATTACGGAAAATTTTGATTTATCAGAAAAGATGAGCTTTATCTTTACTTTCAGAAAAAGATGTTTGTTTTCTATTTTGGAAAATTTATATTACAAAAAATAAGAAAGCTACGGCTGAAAAATGGAAACTATACAAAACTTTTTTATAAAACCAAAAATATTGTTCGGCTTCCATTTAAAATAATGAAAGAAATGAACTAGAAAGACATTTATTTTTTAATATTTGATTTTTCCAGTTTTATTAAAAAAATAATAATAATTGAAAAGGCAAGGGAAGAGAGCTGCTTACATTCTAAATACCTAAGAGGTAATTAAGTAGAGTTTGCAACGTATTAACACATATAATCTTGTAACCCAACACCGATTGGACTCGATCACCTTGAAAAGATAAGACAGTTTAAGGCCACAAGGCTTTTACTTACTAGATGGAAAATACATATAGCTCTACCCTACCTGGACAGAATGGATGCATATTTTACCATCTCAGCAAACAAAAGCGTCCACTTCTCCTAATTGCTCTCTTCACATGTAGGGTTTTTTTTTTTTTTTCGTTTTTCGCATACACTTGAGTACTATGGTTTTGTTTTCATTTTTGGAATGGATCTTTTTATCCTAGGAAGAAGCCTGGCTCCAAACTTATTCCTCATCTTGATTAAGTTTACAGAGGGGTTTAAATTTCTTGCTTAGTAATGTGATTGAATTCCGATAATGGATGATTTTGCAAATCGAATTCCACCTAATAGACCTGAAACCCAAATCCCAAACTATAAAGATGCCATTATAGATAATAGATAATTTTACAACCATAATTATGAAATACCTAACGAAGTCAAAGAAACTTATGAAAAAATTTATAATTATCAAAGAGTAATTAGTTAATATATATAATAGTTATTCTTTGAGTTAACTTTTGAAGAAAAAGATAGATACATAAATATATATATATATATATATATATATATATATATTGTGATCAAAATGGAAGAGAGAGAGAACTTTTATAATACTTGTAAGTTTGGTTCAACAAATTTATTTAATGTAAGAATGAATGAAAGTTGATTGCTTCTGTAGATTGTTTGAAGGTTGAAATTTCTTGAGATGCTAGTATAGATCGAAGTTTGTAAAAGATGTATGGGTGTTTAGCTGGATTTTCTTTTTGTTTTATCATTGTTTGTTAGAGGGTTATTCGGTGTTCTTAATTACTGTCGATAAACTTTTTTTCAATTATAATTTTCATTTATCAGGTTTGTTTTTCGTGTATTCTAATTTTATACAAGTATTTTTTCGTTGATATCTAACTCAATTGTTTTTCGATTTTAGCTGTCATGATTGATTGGTTCGTTGAATTCGGATAAATGTATTCATTAAAAAAAAAAAGACGTCTTACACAAAATGTGCTAAATAATTAATATTTTTGCAATAAAGCAGCATATCTTTGTAACCATGAAATTAAATACAAGTGCATGTAGATGCACAATAGCTATCATTGGACAGTAACCATGTCCAAGGTTTTATTCGCGAAAGAAACAATACAATAGCACCGAATTAATTAATATTTTCCTTCTTCCTAGCGGTCCTACTTTCTAGTTTTCTCCTTTTTAATTGTTAGACAATAAACAATAAAAGTCGGAGTTCTTGACTTGAATACTCTTTTTTTTTCTTTCTTTCTTTCTTGGAAAAGTGCCAAGCATATTTAAATACCAAAACTAGAAAGACTTACCTTATGTCCAAGAAGGACTCACCTGTGTATTCTTTGGATTTTTCGTGAGGACTGTGTCTAGATTGTTTCATTTAATGAATTTTTTTTTAATTACTATTTGGATTGGAGATAAATTATAGTCATTTATCAAACAACCTACTCAACGCTGGAAAAAAAGGGTAAATGTGCGGAATAAGTTATCATAGCAAAACAAGAGTGTCCACCTCTCCTACTAAAAGGGATTTTTATTCATCATTTGACGGCGAGTCCAGATTCATTCGCCTGAAAAGATAAATGTGTGGTAGGCCCAAACCAACAACGCAACTCTGGAGAGAAATCATGCAGACTAAACATATGTTACATATTTTTGTATTTAATTGAAAACATTAGTTGTTTTGTAGGTAGGAAGCTTTCATCGAACACTCCCATCTAGACATCAAAGTTTTGTTTTAATAGTTGAAGAGATTCCCAGGTCCTACCACATGGGATGTATTCAAGCATCCATCTTTTCCGTGAGCTAGAAAAGATTGGCTTATGAAAGTGCCACCCAAGATGCTGCCAAGTTTATTGCTTTCAATTGTTTTTCTAAGGCTAGAGGATGCGATGATGATGCTCAAGTTATCTGATGAAATCAATTAGCATTGTATCAGGTAATTTCAAATTCAACCATCTTGTATAAAAGTTGTAACGAGCTTATTAGATGTGGACAAAACTATTCCTATTGTGTAATCTTTATGACGCATTAAAATTAAATCGGATATTAAAAGGTAATGTAAATCCAAACTAAGATATTCATGAAAGAGAAAATAAAAAAATCTCTTTTTTATGACCTTCTTAAATTCAAACCTAATAACAATGCAGAGAGAAAACCCCATCTATTATTTGAACTCATACTCGATTCTTAAAGATCTGCCTTTCTGAAAGTTCACATCAATGGAGGCACTCCCCCAACAATATTGGGTACTTAGGTTCGAGGCAAAAACACGTGTTACTTGGATTTTCCAAATCCTTCTTGGCCCATTATAAGATAGGATATGTAAAGTGGACCAATTCCACTGGTCCTACAGCCCATTAGGGCACATCACAATTTATTTCGATCTGATACCATTCAATCAGCGGGCCACTGAATAGATCACTCCCAACCACCCAATACCCCACCCGCCCCCAAATGAAACAAATAAATAACCTTTTAGCTCCTGGCTGACGGGTGTCTTCAGTACCGCTTAAGAATCATTCGATGTTTATAATTAATCACAATATTTTTTTAAAAATAGATTTATTGTAAACACTTGAAAATATTATCATATTAAATAAATTATTTAATATTTTTAATAACTACAATTGATTCTTATTCGTTTTTTAACACAATTCAAGAGTAAAAGTAGTGCTTAACTGGTGCCCTAAGTTTTTTCCTCAAAAGAATTGGTATGCTTTCTAATAGGACTATCAACCGATCGAATTTGTATTGAATCTTATGAATTTGGATAGAGTTTTGAAAACGTAAAATTAGATTCAGCTCTTAATGAATTCGAAACTCTGTCAAATTTATCACTTGTTTATTGTAAAAAATTTTATTTACTACATTTCATATATGTTCGAATATAAAATATATTTCAATCATTATATGTATAATTAAATATATTAAAATAATATTTTATTTATCAATGTTGTAAAAAATTCAAAATGCTACATAATTCAAATTTATAAAATTTAATAATCTTAATAAAAAAAATTATCTTTAACTAGGTAGAAAGTATGATAAAATTAAAATAAATAAATAATAAATAATTTTTATTTATTTTCCACGTGGCAATAAAAAAAAGTGATGAAAAATATAATAATATCGAGTCTTGAAAATATATATAAGTCAATTTGTAATTTTTTTTACAAAATTGAATTAAGAAAATGACGAAAAATTTATATGTGATTTTTTGAAAATACGAATCATCACTATTGAAGGATTTATTTAAATTTTATAATAAATAAACTTTAAATTTCAACCCGAGTTTCATATTAACAAATAAACTCCACCCAACACTCCCCCTCCCAATGAAACAAACAAATAACCTTTTAGCTCCCGATTGACGGGTGTCTTAAGTACCGGTTGAGAATCATTTGATGTTTATAATTAATCACAACATTTTAAAAAATAAAATAAAAATATTATGATATTAAATAACTTGTTTAATATTTTTAATGGCTACAATTGATTCTTATTTGTTTTTTAACACAATTCAAGAGTAAATGTAATTCTTAATTGGTGCCGTAAGCTTTTCTCTCAAAAGAATTGGTATGCTTTTTTGTAGGACTATCAACGGATCAAACTCATATTGAATCTTATGAATTTGGATCGAGTTTTGAAAATGTGAAATTAGATTCAGCTCTTAACGAATTTGAAACTCTATAGAATTTATCACTTGTTTATTGTAGAACATTTTTTATTACTACATTTCATATATGTTCGAATATAAAATATATTTCAATCATTACATGTATAATAAAATATATTAAAATAATATTTTATTTATTGATTTTGTAAAAAGTTCAAAATGCCACACAATTCAAATGTATAAAATAAATAATCTTAATAAAAACTCATCTTCAACTAGGTAAAAAGTATGATAAAATTAAAAAAATAAATAATAAATAAAATTTATTTATTGTCCACGTGGTAGCAAAAACAAAGTGATGACAAATACAACAACACCAAGTCTTGAAAATGTATATAAGTCCATTTATAATTTTTTAATAACTACAATTGAATCTTGTTCGTTTTTTAACACAATCCAAGAGTAAATGTAATGCTTAACTGGTGCCCTAAGCTTTTCTCTCAAAAGAATTGGTATGCTTTTTGGTAGGAATATCAACGGATCGAACTCGAATTGAATCTTATGAATTTGAATCGGGTTTTAGAAATGTGAAATTAGATCCGACTCTTAATGAATTCGGAACTCTATTGAATTTATCACTTGTTTATTGTAGAATTTTTTTTTATTACTATGTTTCATATATACTTGAATATAAAATATATTTCAATCATTACATGTATAATAAAATATATTAAAATAATATTTTATTTATCAATTTTGTAAAAAATTCAAAATGCCACAAAATTCAAACGTATAAATTTAAATAATCTTAATAAAAAATTATCTTCAACTACGTAGAAAGTATGATAAATTTTAAAAAATAAATAATAAATAATTTTTATTTATAATCCACGTGACGATAAAAACAAAGTGATGATAAATATAATGACACCAAGTCTTGAAAATGTATATAAGTCGATTTATAATTTTTTAATAACTACAATTGATTCTTGTTCGTTTTTTTAACACAATTCAAGAGTAAATGTAATGCTTAACTAGTGCCCTAATATTTTCCCTCAAATGAATTGGTATGCTTTCCGATAGGACTATCAATGGATCGAACTCGAATTAAATTTTATGAATTTGAATCGGGTTTTGGAAATGTGAAATTAGATCCGGCTCTTAATGAATTCGGAATCCTATTAAATTTATCACTTGTTTATTGTAGAAATTTTTTTATTACTACATTTCATATATGATAGAATATAAAATATATTTCAATTATTACATGTATAATAAAATATATTAAAATAATATTTTATTTATCGATTTTGTAAAAAATTCAAAATGCCACACAATTCAAACGTATAAAATTAAATAATCTTAATAAAAAATAATATCTTCAACTAGGTAGAAAGTATGATAAAATTAAAAAATAATGAATGATTTTAATTTATTGTCTACATGAAAGCAAAAACAAAGTGATGACAAATATAATAACACCAAGTCTTGAAAATGTATATAAGTAAATTTATAATTTTTCACGAAATTGAATTAAGAAAATGATGAGAAATTTATATGTGATTTTTGAAAATACGAATCGTCACTATTGAAGGATTTATTTAAACTTTATAATAAATAAACTCTAAATTTCATATTTATATATTTTTTTCATATGTGATTTTTTTACTATTTTTAAAATATTATATTTATTATAAAAATATTATTTTTAATTTCGGGTCAAATTATTATCGGATCGGATCAAGATAGATCTAGATTTGATCCATTTAATAAACGATTTAACGATTCGGATCATAATCGAACTCGGATAAAAAAAGAAAATTGTTTACTAGATCCATTTAATTATATTAAATTCGAATCGAATTCGGGTCAAGATCTGATCCATTTATAGTCCTAATTTTTCGTATAACAGTGTTATGAATATCGTTTCCTGATTTACTGTTTTGCATTAGATTTCGGTAGTATTATAAGTATCTAAGGTAAATATACATCAAGACATTTGTTATTAATGAAACCATGGTCTCAAATCGTATATGATAAATGGATATACAATAGAACCAATTTTTATTTATCACATATGATATTATTAAATTAATATATTTCTTTAAAAAAATGTAATATGGAAACATTGATAACACACTGTACCAATAATCATGTCACTTAATAGAGCTTATTGGTTATGAATTTTTAAAATGATTTAATAAAATTTACATATAATAAATTTAAAATTAAACCTAAGCCACTGTTATAAAAAAAAAAAATCGTATCTTCTTTTCATGATATTATGCATGAATTAGATATATCATGTTGAATTCTTCAGAAAAATAGTAAATGTTTTCATGATCTTTTTTCTATCTAAAGAATCGATTTATCAAAATAACCATCATTAATATCTACTCGTCTGAAATGTCCAAATGTTTGAGAATTCCTTCATTCAATCCTCTGTAGTGAATTACAGACAGTTTCGAAAAGGTCAAATCTTTGATAATTCCATCATACAGGATTTTATTTTAACAGTATAGGGTTTTATTTTAGCAACGCTATGTGATGGTGGTCCCGCTTATAGGATCAAATTAATATATTCTAACAAGAAATTTTTGAACATCAATCTCATCCTTCTAAACCAATGTTATAAAAGAAGTGATTTTGTAACAAACCTTTCTTACAAAATGGAACAACACAACGAACGGTGCAATGATCCAAGCACATCAAATCATATTCTACCTGGTATGGAACGCAAGAATACTGCATTGTTTTCCTTATTCAGAACTGTATTACGTGTTGACAACTTTATATACAAGGGGTTCTATGTCTTCAAGCAGTAGAACTAGAACCTATAAAATACTGTATCAGGAACACAATTATCATAAAAAATTTTATTCATTTGAATAGATCATTCATTTGTCTTGACATAAATAAAGCTAAGACAAAATGAACTTCTGCTGTTTATTTCCAAAGGAGAAACAAACAGACAGCATTAGAACTTGAAAATAGCAGCACCACTTGAAGGCTTTGAAGCAAAAACATAGAGGCCAAGATCATTCTTGCCAATTACTCCCTTGTCAATTCTTGATTTGTAGAACTTTTCCTGTTGACAATTCAGGAGACTTGTTAAAGTTCTACATTTAATAAAATATTTTCCATTAAAAAAATGTGAAAATACCTTCAAATTGAGGATGAACTGAGGGACGATTGGTTCTTTCACCAAAGCGACCGCACAGCCACCCCATCCAGCTCCTGTAAGTCTTGCCCCCAATGCATCATTATCACGGCAAATTTTTACAAGTTCTTCCAACTCTGGGCAGCTAGATACCAGCAACAAAAGAAACAGGTACAATCAGCATAACAAAAGAGGCAGCAGCCATGCAAGGCTTATGATAACATCAGTCCATCAGTGTCAATGTACACAAATTTCTTGAAAATATACTTCGAGCATTTGTACCTGCATTCATATAGAACGCTGCAACTGTAGTGACTCTCGTTCATAAGCTCACCCAGCTTCTTTAGCTTGTCCTCATCGCTGCATAACAATGCATTGGGAATTAATACTTTGAAGGTTGGATGCAGTCCTTCCCAAACAGCTTTTCCCACTTTTAATTTTTCGAATAAGAGACTGTAATACAATTACTAACTTGCTTTTCCCAACACCCAACGCAGGAGAGCTTCAATAGCATGTTTAACGAAAATGAACATGATCTGTGCACCTAAGTGCATAAGGTAAAACACTTATTGAAATAGACAGAGCCAGTAGGTGAAAAGATGTGCAGTCAATAATGTTTCCAAGAGACAGAGAAAGAGAAATAAATAAAATTAAATGTAAGTTCAATTATTTTCAGTCCTAATGTTAAAGTTGACTGACAAGCCCCCAGACATCTTAAACAAAATCTCAGGATATTTAAGAGTAGAATAAAAACTCCCATAAAAATTGAACTATTACCAGAAAAAAATGCAAATTTGAGCTTTCTTAACATAATCAAAAGGTGACATGCCTCAATTATGTGAACATATGTTCATATTATCAAAAATAGTATATAATTCACACAAAAGTATCAATGGGAACACATAAGCATTCTCTTAAAAGCATATGTAATAAATTCAGTGCACACCTTAAATTTGATGACACTGTGTCCTTGAAAGCATGGACTCGCTTGGCTTCAGAATAAACATGAGCAGCCCTCTGGAAAAACAACAAAGACTTACTAAACAATTTGAATAAAAAAGAGACTAAGCAGTGGCATCAAAAAAAGAATAAGTGGTGATGTGTGGGTTTTTGCAAATCAAGAGTACAAAAAATTTGCTGTTTGAACATTATCAGACTTAAAAGGACGAAGTCTAAATATTAACCATAAATGATATAAAAATAATTTATTGCAACATGGCATGTATCTTGAGATGGCATGCAGAAAATTAAAACCTATTTTCTGGAAGAAAAAAAAATCGGGAAATGCAACAACGTAAGACCAGAGCATGAAGGATCCATTAATCTGGAATCATAACCCAGATACACTAACAGGCTCTAAGCAACACGTGAGTGTGGAAACCATGGCCATGAGTAGATAATAGTACCTGATGCAAGTGGAAGTGCTGTGCTGCTTTTAGCACATCCAAAGAAGATGGGGAATTTGTGAAGATTGATTGAAGACTTTCCCCAGTAATTCCCTCAATTTCTTCAGCCGTGTATGGTTTCTCTTTCAAAAATTCCTGCAGCAAAGACAATATTGATAATTGGTACCTAGTGGCAGAATAATTATAAAGGAATTTATATGTAAAAAAAAAAAAAAAAAACTAACATTTATGTGTGTGGCGTAACAGAATTATGATCGCAACCTGTCTAATATCATTTAAGTAAAGCACTGCAGTAAAGAAACTGATGCCAGTGACAGCAGAGCAATTAGCAATAGATACCTTAACAGCAACGACAGGATCAGAAGAACCACGACTATTAGCAAATGATACACACAATCCCTCGACATCAGAAAGAGTTTTGACATTTGATATTGCATCTTGTTGTTTCATTCCCAACTTTATTCCAAGTACTATCTGAAAAGATATTCCAGAATCAGCGATATGAGTATGATTATGCCTCCAATAGAAGAAAAATTGTAAGAATATGGATTGGTAACTTGTGAGCCAATCAACTTTTTTCTTTAAGAAAGGCACCAAGCTGCAGGGTGGGGAGCGGGAGATTGTTTCCCCTTTCCACAGTTTTAAATTTTTTTCTACAACAGTAATGACAGTTTCAACGAAGATTCTAATACTATAACTGCAAAATCATAGTTAGCTTGGAGGTGATTGTTATGTTTTAAGATTGGATGCAAGACCAAGAATGGTGGAATCCAAAAAGAATGCCCCCTCTGGACAGTAAAAACAGTCCACTTTTTTAGTTTTTCCTGTCCCAAAATGTCAATCCATACCAAAAAGTCAGTGAACTATTGCATCTTAACGGCACATCATATCCCTTAACATGTCAAATATTACTTTCCATTAAAGGGTGCGCATCTTTTAAAGCGAGGGGCAAACTTGACATTGTGGAACACTTAAGGGCATTTTAAATGATTGCCTAAAACAATGAGCAACTGTTATTATGGACATACTTAGGAAGAAGAAAAAGCAGCACCACAGTGTGTTCAAGGGGGAATAATGCTTACAGAAGCAAGTCGACATTCAACAACTCTGTTATTGTAATTCGTAGCAGCAGTGACTGCCTTCTGAGATTCTGCCAAAGAATTTGCAATCACGAAAGTTCCACCAGCAGGAAGTTGCACGTCAGTTGCCCGAATGGGATTGAAATCAATAAGCTCTGCAAATCCAGTTTTGGCCATCACAGAGATTGCCTGCAAGTAAAACAAGCATCTTATGCTCAGTGTCCCTTAAAAGTCAGCTTCCCATCTCTGTTTGGATCCTCCTTACTCTATGTTCTGTTCTAAAGCAATAATAGATTAAATGTTCTGACATCATAATGCGGTTCCATGTCAAACAAGAGAAGCAGAATAACCATCAAAACATTGCAAGAACTGATACACTGGATTTGTCCATGAACAAACGCGACAGTAGTCTCGGACTCAGTAGGAGCATTGCAATCATTCTTCCAAGTACATTTTTACAACAATTTAATCAAGTTCATGAGTATGAAGTATAACCTGGTCCATTCCTCCAGATTGTGTTCCAATGTGCCTTTCACACTCACATGTCAGTTGGGCAATTTCTTTCTGTTAAATAGGGAAACATCGTTAGAACTCAGATAGATAAAAGAAAGAAATATTTACAATCCATAAGCATGTCAAGGCTAGAATCTAGAAATAATTTCATTTTACCTGGCATGAACTGGTTGTCAATAAAAACAAGACAAGGAGTTTTCATAAGAAACTTGCATAATTAAGTGATCTCGTGAACCAATGACCCAATGACCTACTGACCTACCCACTGTCAACACAAAGAATAAGCAAATACAAACAATCCATATGCACATTAAGGCCAGAATTTTAGTCTAATTTGTTTTGCCAGGGATGAACTGGTTGGCAAGATAAAAATAATAATGGAGATTCATAATAGAAATGAACAAACAGCTGAACAAGATATTGATATCAAATGATCAAAAAGACCAAAGACGTCAAGGAAATATAGAAACAGTAAATGAAACGAAGCCATTGTAATCAGAGTGCTATGGGCACAGTGGTGGAGAAGTTATTCTATCTCATAGCAAGCAGTCTATGTTCTAATGTACAAATCAGAAATACAAGCATGTTAGTTTTTTTTTCAATAACATTAGATTATGTAGCAGGATAGAAACGTATCCATCTCTTCTATGAAAAAAAAAAAAAAAAAAGGTATAAATAATGCCAGAGAAATCTAAAAAATAACAAAATCCAAAAGTTTGACAGTATAGCAAGGAGTTTTCAATGCCTAATACTGCAGAAGTGCTTTCTAGTTCTAGTTGTGAAATGAAATATTGCCTTTAAAAAACATAGAAGTATTGAGGTATCATATTCTTCATAATTTTGGTGAAAGAACGGTATTACCTTTGGAAAGTTCACATCAAAAGCAGCCATAATAGCAATGGTAGCAGAACAAACAAATGCAGCAGAGCTTGACAAACCAGAACCTGGGTTACAAAACTCCAAATAAGTCTTCTCATACAATGAGCAACCAAAGCTACATCATTAACAATAGATAACTAAAATCAACTTAATATCAAATCACCTGTTGGAACAGTCCCATCAACAATAACATCAAGTCCAACCAGCTCACCCACATTCACTCCTTTTGATTTCGCAAATTCATAATAACCCTTATACCTGGAAACCCACAAAACGATCAATAAATAAATAAATAAGAACTACAAATTCCAGCGCTAATCAATTACAAAAACAGTTGTTCCATATCTTACCCACAAATGAAATAATGACCCCATCTATGATTCTTCAAGTCAATTGCCTGCAAATTATCACAGAAAACAACAATCAATCCAACTAGCAATTCTAAATTTACGAGTAAAACAATCAATAACACATTACTATTAAAGAGTGTGTAGGCTGGTCCTGACCTGGTTAGGATCCGCAGGATAAGTACACTGTGTATATTTGTCATTAACATTGGCAATTCTAAGAACTTTTTCCGCATTATTTTTACGGATTGCTATAATAGTGTCTTGCCTTATTGCCATTGGCAACACTGAGTAGCCTTCATAATCAATATGTTCTCCAATCAAATTCACTCTCCCTGCAAAAACACGAAATAAAAAGTTTAGAATAATATCAACAGATAATAAATTATGTCCAGATAAAGCGTGTGATTTTTGAACCGACGAAACGGGTTCAATTAAATTAAAGACGTGTACAGATTATTAATAAAATCTTATTAACATCAACTTCTTTTTTAAAAAATGCAAAAAAGTTTGACTTTTCTCTCGCTTTCTCGGGAACCATACAGAAGACTGATCAGAGAGAGAGAGAGAGAGAGAGAGAGAGAGAAGGGTTTCTAACCTGGAGAGCGAGCAAAGACATCTGGAGGGTGACCAAAAACTTGAAGAAACTTAGATTTCAAGTTATCAAAACGAAGTTTAGCTTCTTCAAGCTGAGATCCGTCGCCGTAAACAGCCTCTAATGATGAGTAGCATGGAATTGGCGTTTCTTCATGTTTCGCCATTTCAACGATAAAAATAATTTGGTTTGATTATATTATATTTTATAGTTGATTTGAGTGATGATGATGATTTCGTCTTTCAAGTGCTTAAAAATGGAATCTAATTTAAATAAAAAGAAGATAAATATAATAATGGAATGAGAATAGGATTCATTTTTAATTAGCTAGTGTCTTACCTTATATCTACTTCCCCTTCAATGCCTTAACAAAATTTACCCGTGTCATCGTCCTATGGATAGGATTATCTTATCTCAACTAACTAATTACCGAGTCTAAGTTTTTTGCCACATCAACATTCAGATCATTGGTAAAAAGTCTATATTTAAGTTTTTGTAATATTTTATTTTTATTTTTCTTCTTCTTAAAACGTAACGGATAAAAAAAGAATACTATCATATCAAATTTTGTGTATAAATACTAATAATTATGAGGAAGATTAAGATGGGAGAATCTGACAGATTTAAATACTTTGGCGAGAGATCATAACTATAACACAAGTCTACATCACAACATGATCCGTTTGTCATTTTCTCTTCTTCAGGGAATATTACCAAGTCTTAAAACTTGATGATCACTGCTGAGAGTACAGGTGTACATCTATGATCTATCTGCTGCTTCGCGGCATTTCTTCAGATTCTCTCTCAACCTATACTACGTGGAATGAAACTCGTGAAGCAGACATCACATCCTGTGGCCACCACTTCTCAGCGGCCAACACAGCACAATGGGAAGGCAAACGCAATATTCTCCTCCATGAAATCGACGGGAATTTTAATATTTTTTTTTTCCCTTTCTCGGCAGAATATAGCACATGTGACCTAAGCCAGCAAGAAAAATAGCAACAAATTTGACTACCTAGGGGCGCAAACTGCAAAGTCCATGCATGATTGAAGGGTGTAACAGAGTTCAAAGTCCATTTACATCATTTCTGCTATTTGATTGATAAAAATTCATAAGCACCTTATCTCTGCATCCCTGTCCGAAGCCACTTGAACATATTCATTAATATTCGCATAGCAACACAAAAGGGAACAGTGACATAAAAAAAGGAAAACAAAAACCAAAACAAAAGATTTAAATCTCAGATATTAATGGACGACAATACGATCATTGCTATAAAAGAAATATAAATAATAGGAGAATTAAATGAAATGATAATAAGAAAATAAAATCACTATAACGTGAATATAAGTGATAAGAACTTCAAAGTTTTTCTTATTCTCTCAGAAAACTTGTACACCACCTAATGAACAATCAAACCTATTTATAGGTTTCAAATTTGAAAAGAGAATTAGAAATGACTATGAATAATCAATTGCATCACCCTTTCAATATCTCATATTGAATGATGAATTGAATCATATTAAGAATCATGAGTAGTGAGGATATGAAAAGTAGATGAACATGATGATGGACATTCATTATTTCATAAAACTCCTCTTTGAATGTCCATTGTATAAGAAACATGCATCGTTAAAACCTTACTAGGAAAAAAGCGGTGGAAAAAAATCCTAATGAAGGAAAAAAAGTACAATATTCCTTGTACACATTAATCTCAATCTTGGCCTCCCCTTGTTGAAAACATCATTTGAGATCTATAAGCCAATGTATTTCAATCTTGTGAATCATCTTCTCGAAGTTGTAGTCGGTAATGCTTTAACGAATGAATCTATTGGATTGTCACTTTGATGTATTCTTTATTCAATGGAATTATACAAGCGACATTATCCTCATATGATATTGTTGGAAATTCTTTTGTCGATAGATAAACCGCATGTCTCTCGGATATGATAAATCGTTAATCTTAACTAAACACATTCTCAACTTACCTCGTGAATTGATATTTCAACATGATTTGAAGATGTGGCAGCTATAGTTTGCTTCATAGAATACCAAGATATAGTCGTATCTCCATATGTAAATATATAACCAAGTTGTGATCGAGTTTTGTGTGGATTAGATAAATAACATGCATCTACATAACCAATTAATCTTGTCTTTAATTTATTGAAGTAATATAAGCTCATATCAATTATTCCTCGAAGATAACATAGTATATACTTTATTTCAATATCTCCGTATTGAAACAAAACTATAACTTGCTAATAAATTTATAAAAAGACTTTATTAGTCAAGTATTGTTAGCAATATATATCAATGTCCTAGTGGCACTAAGATATAGTACTTCAAGACCAAGTGGTTCTTCGTTATCTTCTCGAGGTCGAAAATGGTCTTTTTGAATATCGAGTGAATAAACTACCATTGGGCTAGTCAATGAATGATCTTTATATAGAATCATTGTAGAATTTTTTTCTATACAAATTGGTTGATGAATAAAAATCTCATTCTCCGAGTGCTTGAACTACAGGTCGAGATAATATTTTTTTTCATAAGGTATTCACATCAAATTCTCTTTTTAGATAACTTATAACACTTAGAATCTCTTCGGGAGTTCCAATAATATTTAAGTTATCAACATATATAACAAACCCCTTTTCAAATAAAAATATATGAATAAATGGGATTTTTTTTACAACTTTCTTTCAATAATCATTGAAGTGATTATAACACATGCACACGGGTTAGTAATAAATAGTTGATATAAAAATAAAATATAAAAAATAGTATAAATTGAATTTCTAAAAACTAAGATAATAAAACAAATACTAAAATAATCATAATGGATATCTCTATAGTTTAATTGAATTCTTTTCTCGATAATATGTATTACATGCTTCGGCATGTTAAGTCCTTTTAAGACTTTCATACCGATATCATTTTAAATGAACAAATAAACCGTGATAACATTTATTAAATGTATAAATATAAATATTTTTCAGATATTTTATCGAGCTAATGAGATAAAAACAATATAATTGCATCCATTATAGGAGAATATGTTTCCTCATAGTCAATGTCGGGTTTTCGCAAACACTCTTACGTTAAAAGTTTTACTTTATATTTTACAATCTCATCTTCCTTATTTTGTGTTCGCATAAATATACATTTGTATTTCATTAGATTAACATCTTCATATATTTTGACTATAGGTTCAAAAACTACTCATTTGTTAAAAAACATAATTATGTCTAGATTGCTCTTTTCATTTAGGCTAGCCATCATTATGCCAATATTCTTCAATAAATTTAGGCTTAGGATTCTTATTTTCATTTAAGATATCAATTGAAATATTATATGCAAAAATCTTATCAATAGATGTTTATTTCGGTCCTTTTTTTTCCTATATTGACGTAATTTATCAAAATCTCTTGATTTTTCTCAAGCATTTAGATTTCTTTTAGAAGCCTATTATCATATTTATCTTGGAACGTTTTATGAATATTTGCATCTTTTATATTTTTATCTTGTCATTTTCATTTAGAGATTTTTATCTTTAGAACTGATCGGTCTTTCATGCTTCATGCGTGCTTCGATTTATTACTATAACATTAATAGATCGCCCTTCTAGGACATTAATTCTAATAGAAGCATTCTTAATGGGGACATGAATTTTAGTTACTTATTTAAGATTTGAGAATGCATCTAGCCGTTGATTTGTAATACCTTAAAAATGAATTATCTTTTAAACTTTTAGTTCACATTATCTTCTACAAGGATCGAGATAATATAAGATAAATTACTCTATGTAATTTTTTTTAACATTTTTAACCGCTTATTCTCTCCTCTTAATGTTAGAAAAACTGTTTCATCAAAATGACAATCAATAAATCAAATTGTAAAAACATCTCTTATTCATGAACCAAGAGATTGAATTATCGAAGAGGATTTAAATCCAACATATATTCTCAATCTCCTTTAAGTGCCCATTTTATTTCATTATAGAGGAGCATTATGGATATACACCGCAATACAAAAAAATCTTAAAGAAGAAATATTTAGCTCATGACCATAAATTAATTAAAGAGGAGAGAATTTCTAATAACTTATGGGTTCGATGCGAATAAGTGTTATTGCATGTCCCCAAACATAAACAAGGAGTTTCATTTTTATAAATAATGGTTTAACTATCGATTGAAAACTTTTGATAAATAATTATGCTAAATCTTTTTGAGTATAAACATAAGCAACAAGTCGTTCAATCTTTATTCTAATAGCCAATCAATAATAACTTAATTCTTAAGAAATAAATTCATCGAGCATTATCAAGGTGACTTGTTTCAATAGCACAATCTAAAAATTATGCTCGAAATCAAATTATTTGCTTAAAAACGTTAGGTTTCAAGTAGATAATAAGCATACATATGATCATTTTGTGAATGCATTTATTAAAATCGTAAAATATTTAAATGATCCACATGATGGATAAATTGGTCCACATATATCACCTTGAATACATTCTAAAAATACTGAAGCTTCAATCTCAATTTTACTTAGTGATGACTTAATAATCAATTTTCCTTGAGAACATACGGAACATGAAAATTCATTAAATCGAAGAATCTTCCGGCTCTTTAATAGATGTTTATATAAATTTTTAATAATTTTTCACATCATGAAAGACCCAAGATAACACAATTGGTCATGTCACATGATAAAAGTATTTGAATTAGTAAACTTCTAGTTTACTATAACATTTGTTTCAATCATTCCAATTTTGTAATAAAGAATAGAAAAGAAAGCGAGTAAATTTTTCAATACATATTTTTTTTTGCTCGATATAATGATTATAATAAATAAGTATTCATATTTGTTATCTTGATATGATATCAATTTAGATGAATATCTTTGAAATTTAATAAATTTCTATGAGACTTTAAAGAGAATAGTACATCATTTATGATAAAATTAATCATTTCGGATAATAACATATTTACTCTTCTAGAGCTTTTAAATTAGTCACTTCAAGTAATAATATATCGACTATTCTAGAGTCTTTAAAAGTTATCTCTTTAAGTAATAATATATTCACTCTTGTAGAGCTTCAAAAATTTATCTCTTCATGTCATAATATAATCGCTCTTCTAGAGCCTTCAAAATTTATCTCTTTAGATAATAATATAGTCGTTCTTCTAGAGCTTTCTATTGGATTAATATTATCATATATAATATTAACATAAAATAAATAATCAAATAAATTAATATAAAATAAATAAATAAATAAATTCCTTATAAACATAAACAAATAAATAAATAGTAAAATAAATTATAACCATCACTATACGATATAAATTATAAGAAATATAAAAAATATTTATTTATAAATAGAAAAACTAACAAGTAATTAATTTCAATTACTATTATTTTGATATATAAAAGTGACATTCATATTTTATTCTTTATTTTTCAATAAGGCTTGACAATGCTCAATGAGGTGCTTTGATGTACGGTAGGTACATGAACAATATTCATTCATTTCACATCTATAATATTCATTTTTCAGAATACTCGCTTTATCTATTTTTATTTTTATTTTTTTACGGTTATCCGCTTCGGTGGTGAGATGTAATATTATGGTCATCACAATTGTAATAATAATTATTTTGATTATGTCCATGGTTATGACCACATCTTTGTCTATGCCTAAAATTATTATAAGTTATCATATTCACTTCGGGGAATGGAGTAAATCCAGTTGGATGAGATTTATTCATTTTCATCAATAACTTGTCATTTTATTTAGTCATGAGCAAATATGAAATCAATTCAAAATATTTCTTAAATTCATTTTCTCGATATTACTATCGCATGAGCATATTCGAGACATAAAAAGTAGATAATATTTTTTCGGAATCAAGTACTCATAATCAATAATTCTTATTCAAAATATCAAGAGCCACAAAATTAGGTTTTGTGATGGTTAATATGATATCATTAAAATTGTATATTGTAAAGTATAATAATATTATTAGGAAATAAAGACAAAATATAATAAAAAATTTAAATAAAAATAAATATAATGATAAAATTTGAACTTTTCAAATAATATATATTAGATTATTAGATTCTATATATTAAATCATTAAATTTTTTCAAATGTATATTTTATGTATCATTAGATTTAAAGTACATGATAAATTAGATATATTCCTCTTAATGATCTAAATAATAATTTAGATTCAATACGTAGAGCACTTGTGTAGAAGAAATCCAATGGTTGAAACAATTGATTAAGTCCTTTGGTAGATACATACTTTATGGTCTATTGTCTCGATTGGTTAGAGCTTCGTGCTTGATAAAGTGTTATAAAAGAAATAGAAATAATAGGAGAATTGAAGAAAAGAATGACAAGAAAATGAAATCACTATAATGTCAACACAAGTGATAAAAACTTTAAAGTTTTTCTTATTCTCTATAGAAAACTTGTACACCAACTAATGAACAATTCAAACTTATTTATAGGCTTCAAATTTGATAAGAGAATTGAAAAGGACTATGAATAATCAATTGCATCTCTCTTTTAATATCTTATATTGAATGATGAATTGAATCATCTTAGAATCATGAGTAGTAGGGATATAAAAAGTAGATGAATATGATGATGGATATTCATTGTTTCATAACAATCATTTATTTCCTTATGATATGTTAAAGAGTAATATAAATTATATTTTGAGGCATCACTTAATAATTTAAAATTTTGAGTGAGATGGTCTTTTAATATCGTATCAAAGTTTAATTGATCAATTGGTTCTTATTAAAAGTGATAAGAAGATTTTCACCTTCACTCGAATTTTTTTTCTCTTTCATATTTTTCTCTCGTGTTTGTGTTTATCTCCATTTATAAAATAATTCATACTAGTTATTTTTTAAGTATTATAAAATATTTTGGATGAAATGATAGTTTAATATGATATATGTTTTACACTGCATGAGAATTTTGGTTGGGTTTGTAGAGAGTGATTAAGTGATAGCAAGAAAAGATTTTCGTTTTTTATCATGATTTATTTCCTTACTATCTGTCCTGCATCCCACAGGCCACAATAACTTCATATTGAAGGAATAGTCAGCCCTGCCCAGTATACCAGCCCTGAAACTTATCCGTCATTTCTCTCGCTTGTAACACAGACATCCATTGAATTAAGCACAATGCACGTATCACTGTCATCTCATCACAATAAGGAGCGCGAGTTGGCTTATCCTTGCCCTGATTCACTCCATTTCAAATTTAAAAGAACTAAGAGAAAGGCTGTATAAACCAGTTACAATCCAGTGAAGTAACACTTCTTCGGAAAAAAAGAAGGAAAAAGAAAAATCAAGGACCATCCTTCACTAAATTCTACATTTTCCCCTCAATCTTGTTTCCCAAACAATTGCTCTGTTTTTGACTTTCTTCGCCGGAATGAGAGTACCAAGTGTTTGTCAAAAAAAAAAAAAAAAAAGGTGATCCCACACCTCACACCTGGCCTTTGGCATTCAGGTGGGAGGTCATGCACGTCTAAGGAAATACAAGGCATTAAAAGAAATAAACACGCGCTAGCGACACGCTCTTACTTATATAATAAATAAAGTTAGAGGCATCGAGACATTCTGCAAAAGAACGTCTTGTTCTATGGCAAATTAAAGGGTCAATAAATATCCATAGAAAGCACCTTGACGATTCCACTTTTCACCATAAATTACACTTATGATTATTATTACCATAAAAAAGAAAAAAGCAATTCCCTCTGTCAAAATCCCAGTCCCTTAGAGACCCTAAAACTACAACTCACTAAACTATAATGTGGACAAAAATAAATAAAAGTTGGAAAAAAAGAGGGTTTGAATTATAACGTGGAAGAGTAAGTATAGGTATTTCACAAAAAGAGACGTATTTGCAGAAAAAAGGGACTTGATTTCTGTGCGAACTTTTAGAAGCACTACCGGATATTTTTGTCATACATGATCTCTTATCAACTAAAACAATCTGCTAAGATTTGATTCGATCCCGTCATTAATTAAAACGTCAGGATAATACTTATCTGTTGAACGAACACATGGTCGCATGGTCCCTATAAATATCATTTACTCTGCTCTGCCTTTTGGTACTCTATTGTTTTTATTTCTATCCAAGAAAATTAAATATCAATCAATTACCATTGAAGAGAGTTTAGACCTTGCTTAGGAAAGATGGAGATTGATCTATCACCAAAATTGTGCAAGAAGGTGTATGGAGGAGATGGTGGGTCTTATTTTGCTTGGAGCCCAGCTGAGCTTCCAATGCTACAAGAAGGGAACATAGGTGCAGCCAAGCTTGCCCTTGAAAAGTGTGGCTTAGCTCTTCCTCGTTACTCTGATTCTGCTAAGGTTGCTTATGTTCTTCAAGGTATTAATTAATCATTCTTGTCTATTTATTTTTATTTTTTAAAAAGATCGATTGAGATTTGGGTTTTTGTCTGCTACATATGATGACTATTTAATCTTAAGAAAACAAATCACTATTTATTTAATTCATAATGATTGGCTTAATGGGTGATCCAGAAAAGGTTATATTGAATGTGGTTTATTTGATAGTGTGCTGATTTTGGCCAGGTGTTACTGCAAGGGTGTCTGTTTATTTTTGTAAATGCAGAAAAGAAGTTCTTTAATTCGATGGATTTAAAGGATTCGGGTATAGATTCAATTTTTATTTAAGGGAATAAAAGAGAAGAATTTTACTGTTTGGTATAATTCTAAAAATAATATCATTGACATGCTTCATTTTGATTGCAATGTGATAAACTACAGCTAGTTGTGAATAATTTTTAACTTTTTTCCTCCTTTTTTTTATCATTATTATTTTGTAGGAAATGGTGTAGCTGGTATTGTTCTTCCTGAGAAAGAAGAGAAAGTTGTTGCCCTTAAGAAGGGTGATGCTATTGCTCTTCCTTTTGGCGTGGTTACTTGGTGGTATAACAAAGAGGACACTGACCTTGTAGTTCTCTTCATGGGTGACACCTCTAAAGCCCACAAAACCGGTGAATTCACTGATTTCTTTTTGACTGGCTCCAATGGAATTTTCACCGGCTTCTCTACCGAGTTCGTGAGCCGAGCATGGGATGTGGATGAAAAGACTGCCAAGTCCCTTGTCGAGAACCAGTCGGCTAAAGGCATCGTCAAGCTTGATGGATCCTTTAAGATGCCTGAACCCAAAAAGGAACACCGTGAGGGCTTTGTCTACAACTGCGAGGAAGCTCCACTGGATGTTGATATTAAAGACGGTGGGAAGGTGGTTGTTTTAAATACCAAGAACCTTCCTTTGGTTGCAGAGGTTGGGCTTGGTGCTGATCTTGTTAGACTGGATGGAAAAGCAATGTGCTCTCCTGGTTTTTCTTGTGACTCTGCACTGCAGGTGACATTCATTGTCAGTGGTAGTGGCCGGGTTCAGGTTGTTGGTGTTGATGGCAAAAGGGTCCTGGAAACTACTGTCAAGGCAGGTCATTTGTTCATTGTTCCTAGGTTCTTTGTTGTTTCAAAGATCTGTGATCCTGATGGGATGTCATGGTTCTCCATCATCACCACCCCCAAGTAAGTTTTGCTCGTACTCTTCATGTCTAATTTATCACGCTTGCATGTTAGATTCTCTTACCCTTTTTTACAGACACATTACGATGATGATCTATGCGCTATCACCTAAAGCTTATTGCGCGTTTGCCTAATGATAGATTAATGCTGTATTTTAAGTTTTTAACAGTGACATAATTTTATGTCTATAATCTATAATAAAAGAATATAATTGTATTTCTGTGTTTTTTTTTTTTTTTTCATATTTGTATCTGTTTTGTTTGTTGCAGTCCTATTTTTACTCATTTGGCTGGAAAGACATCTGTGTGGAAGGCTTTATCTCCTCAAGTGCTAGAGGCATCTTTCAAAGTATCTCCTGATGTTGAGCAGCATTTCCGCTCCAAGAGAATGAATGAGGAGATTTTCTTTCCACCTCCAAATTGAGGAAGCGTAGTTTCATCCGCTCTCTATTGCAGTCGTGGCAATAAGAGTTATTGTTAGATCTAATTTTCAGAATTTAGTTTCTTTATTAGCAATTTTCTTATTAGAGCGTTTCTGGCAATTATTTTTTTATTTCAACTATCTGTAGCGTCGTCTTGCATTTTCAAATGCAAGACATTATTATATTTATGTTCCAGAATTTAGTCTTATTTATGAGCAATTTTCTTATTAGAGCATTTATCATGGTACATAATTTAGCAACATGGTACCCCTATATCCTTCAAAATTCAAGTGCTTTTTTTTTAATTAAAATTATATATAAAAAAGAATCTGCAAATTAGAGATGAATTAGGGTTTTGTAAGTAAGAAAGGATGAGAGTAATGATAATTAGAGATGGTTCCGGTAAGGGAAGAGGAGTTTCCGAATTTCTTTTGTAGTCGGATCACGCAGCCCTTTCATTCACAAGGTCTTACCATTGAGACAACAAGCAGAATCTCAAGTGACAGTAGCACACATGCGCTAGAGATCCACAAAGGTAACTGGATGCCTGGGACTTCGCATAAAAAGCATCCAGAGTGCACAACTTAAGCCAACAATAATAAATTTTAAAACACAGTTCAAAAAATAAAAATAAAACATATTGTTTTGTGCAATAAAAAAAACATTATTAAATTTTTTAAATTATACAAAGTTTTTTTTTAAAAAAAATAGAGATAAAATATAATTTTAAAACTCAACTCAATTATCACTTGAATAAAAAAAAATAGCCCAAAAATAGTTTCTAAGTTTAAGTAAAAGGCTCATGTGTCTTGCCTGAACCTATAATTTTTTTCTTGCTGCCCCGCCCCTTGTCTCTTCTTCTTCCCTAAAAACGAGCCAGCACTCCCTGTCTCCTCTTCTTCATCCCTGGCTCACTCTTCTTCTTTCCTAAAAACGATTATTGCCCAAATCTCTTCTTGATTCTTGTATTTTATATTTTCAGCATCTGAAATTTTACAAAACACGTGATTGATAGAGATAAAAAGGCTGACAAAGGAGAGCAAATCACAAGGTAACTATAAGCTTGCAAAGGAGGGAAGATTTTTATTTATTTATTTATTTATGTAATATAATACCGCATTATATAACAGTAACATTGTTATGTGCTGTTTTAGCCATGAAACGGCAATGAAACACTCATAACGCCAAAAAGCTGTAACAAAGTGCTTCGATGCTGTTATATAACAGCCATTAAGCTCTGTGGCGGCTGCTAGTTCAAACTATGAAGCAAATAATAACTTGGGGAGCAGTCCATGCGGGTTCCTATAATCCAAGGAAGAGATCTGTACAAGCTAACTGTCCATGCACTTCACAGAAGGAACGAATTCAAATGCTACAGAATGACAAATTCTGCTGTTATGGCAAAGACCCATCCCCATCATATGAAGATAAATGAGACCTCGGAAGGACAGAAAAACGAGGGTGGTGGAGATGATGGACAAAACTGTTCGCTGTTTCTTAAACCTGTTAAAACAAGTTTGCATTCAGGCCATGCAAATGCCTGATTCAAAACACATGCGCATATGTGAATTCCACTTGAGGGAAGAATACCCCTGGAAAGCATAAGAGATGCCAGAGCCTATCTAACATAATTAGTATGCAATTCCTCGAAGTCCCATACAAAGACCTACCCAAAAACTTGTGCTAGCAAAACCTTAGCACTAGGAGGAGAACCTGCCCACCTCTTCATCTTCATCCTCATCCTCATCTATAACATCTTCCTCAGTAAACGTTTCAAAATCATCATCTTCAATTTCCTCCTCGTCATCTTCATCAACCATGTTACTATTCTGGGCTTTATCCTTCAAACCAGTGCTCAAAACAACAGATTGTCCCCCTGATTTTTCCATGTCCTTCCTCAGTTTTTCCATGTTATGTTTGCGTCGCTCTTCCTCCAGTCGTTGCTTCTCTGCCCATCTCTTGTCAAGATCAGCCCTAAGACAATCAAAATCCATGGGTTAGACGAGCAAAAGCAAAACAATGGTAGTTGAGAGAAGAATTTATCAAAACAGCAAAGGGCTTAAGGAAATACTTGTAGGTTTCCATATACTCCTCAGCACTGGCTTCGATAGCCTTAAAGAAGGTATCCATCCCAGCTCCAGAAACAGCTGAGACCCCAACTGACCTCAAATTTTTATAGAATTCATCAAGTGCAAGGGAGAGGCTTTGAGCAAAAGTAGACATATACGAGTCATCTGACCTCATTGCTGCTTGAAAGGCTTCAAAATCTTCCATCCACTGCACAGATTATAACACTCAGAACAAGGATGGTGTAGAAATAAAGAGCAAAGACTTCAAAATCTTCCATCCACTGCACAGACTATGACACTCAGAACAAGAATGGTGTAGAAATAAAGAGAAAAGATCATAACCTAACATAATGTACCAAAATTCAAGAACAACGCTCATAAATAGAGAACAATGAAAAAAAAAACATCCAGAGAAATTGACTTCTGAAAGCAATGCTACAAAAAAATTGCAAGAACAGCATTCTAATGTCAAACATCAGTCCCTTAAAAGCTAGGGGTTTGATTGAAAACCTTGAAATTTTCAATGCACTTCTCGTTCAGTCATGTTTCAGGTCCCTTGAAAACACTGTTTTCACTGATCCTTAATTCTGAAACCAATTTTAATTAAATAGTTATCGAACTTCAATCATAATTAAACTTGAGAATATTGGAGAGTTTGGCATGATGAAAATCTTTCCCACAAATATTATTTCAGCTATTTAATTGATAAATTTTATGAACACGTTATGCGTCCCACAGGCTTAAGCCCAAAATAACTTGAGCATATTGCAGCCTGGCTAGGCCTCCAACTCCCTCCACTAGTTTTAACTACTTTTTCCAAATTAAAAAAAGATCAGTAATGATGCATCAAGAAAAAGGGGAAAAAGTAAAACCTCTAAAGCAAATTGGTGTTGAGCCACATCAGTCTTGTTGAATGCCAACACAAGAGGCAGCCTTGTCTTGTATAGTATGCTACAGGCGTAAAGCATATTGCTCATGAAAGTTACTGGGCTTGAGGAACGAGGTGTGTCAACTACATAAGCAACCACAGTTGGAAAGGTAGAAGCAAAAGCTTCTGTAATGATAGCTCCAGAAGCAGACCAAGTGAATATTTCAATTTGACCAGGCGTATCCACAAGAACATAATCAAGCTGGTCTGCTCGCTTCTCAATGACTTGAATGACCTGAAAATGCAAAATACAAAAGTGAGGAAATATTGGAATTACAAGAAGGGTATGAAACTCGATGAAAAGGTCTGCATTCAGAAAAAATGACATTGCAAGACAGGTTGCCACCATCCAATACCCTTGCCCAAAATTGATATCCACTAGTTAACACGTGGATTGCTGTCTATCAGGATGAAAATAACTGTGCACCTGACTACTCATTTGTCAACCAAAATTTCCATTAAAGTTCATAATAGTAAGGTTTCAGTAAAGATAGTACAAATAAATCACAGATACTATCTAATGGAGATGAATAATGAACCCTTCTGAGAAAAAAAGCTGTTAGTAAATTTTACCTCATCAAACTTTGTTGCAAACAAGTTAAGAGATGTCATGATTCCACCATTAGGTCCAAGATTAAACTGCTTCATCACTTCCTTGTACTTAACAGTGTCCCTTATATCAATATTTGCACCATAGGGGAGAGTCATCACAGCAGGATCAAGGTTGAGCACATAACCACGAATCCTCGAAGCTTGAGTGTGGCAAACCAACCTGTGAAGAAAAGTCGTTTTTCCACTCCCTGTTCACATTCAGAAACAATTTTCAATCCTCAAGTCCATTTTATGAATATGAAACGATAAAAGAGCAGGCAGCAGGAATTATTGAAACCAAATAACAATAATAATAGAATTGCTAAAGGCCCGAACCATAGAGTACTTATAACTTATAACTGGCGCTACAAATAGATATATTTTTAGATCTCACATATAAAATCCTCCTGTATTCGTTCTTGTAATACATAACAGCAATACACATATAATCAGATGTATAAATGTAATTAAATTAAAGGGCAATTGCATTTATTTTGTACACGGAATAACAATTCTTCAACAAGCTTTCTAGATTACCTGCCATTCCAACAACGATAATGATAACTGGTTTTCTTCTGAATGAAGGTCCCACCTGCCCAGATGACGATGCTTCCACATTCAATTTATTCATTGAGTCAGCTAATTCATCTTTTTCTTCAGCAGTTCCCTTCATATCAAAATCAAACAATGAGAAACCAATAACACAGACAATTCTTCAAAAAACAAAAACTAAGCTTATTTTCTCACTTCATTGCCAAAACAATCCAAGTAAGATGCAATAAACAAATAAAATTTTTCCTTTCAGATCACACAAGGTTCGGGAATTGGATAACAATATCCAGGTTCTGCAGCACCATAACCAAAAAGAAAAACGAACACTGCTCTTAAATGTGTACATACTAATACAAACAGAGATATAATATACCTTAGAATCCACTTGCATTGATGATGAGCCTTCAACCCCAGACTTAACATCAAATTTGTCGAGCTTAGAGTCAATATCCATTTTCACTATGGAAAAAAAAAAAAAAAAAAAACAAAGAATCAAATATAACCGATTAATATTATACAGTAAGACCCATAAACCCTAAAAACAATTTCCCCAGTCAAAATCTCAGAGACTCCTAGATATGCTAAAATCAGCAGGAAAAGAAAAGGAAAGAAAAAAGTCAATAAATCAAAGCCGAAAAAAAATTGAGCTTAACTAAACCCTGATAATAACTTCTCTACTGAAATAAAATGTTTCGAGAAAGACAAAAAAGGGTTTGTGATGAATAAGTATACCTGAGTTGAGTGATAAAATGGAGATGACTCGGTTTGAGTTTTATGGGAAAGCTAGGTATCAGAAAGCGCGAGAGCTCTGACTTGAGACTTGATGGAGAGAGCGGGAGAGAGGGAGAGGGAATGATACGTGAGTGAGAGAGGGAGAGAGAGTGGGTCAAAAAACGCGAAGAATTGGGATTCTTTAGCTTATACTAATCATTTGATTTTTTATTCGATTTTAGGTTTTTTTTTTATCTATGTTTTTTCATTAATTAAAATAAAAATTGAAATTGAATCGAACTGAGATTAAATTTTCTTTTAGTTAAAAACTCAAAATTTTCTATTCGATTTTTTAACTAAAAATCTTTTTTTATATATTTTCTTCTGAATTTTGAATTTTCTATTAAACTAAACTCAAAGGCTACTTTTCTATTTTTATTTTAATTATCAAGGAATGTTAATAACTTGAATTAAAGTTTTAACAAATAAAGTCATAGGAAAATGCCACAGTCAGAGTTTGAGTGTTCTCCTATTTATCAAAAATTCAGATATAATGACTTGAATAATGCTAACTTTTAATTAATTCAATCTCAAAAAGCTTATAACTTAATAATAATGGTTTCTTGTAAGAGGTCACATATTTTTAATTCCTTTAATGATTTTGAAATGAAAATGTCCGAATCATCAAACATAAAATCAAATAGTCACTCATTAAAATTACTCAAATGGTCATTTTTTGAGTTTTTCTTTTCTTTCTGTAATTTCCTTTAATTGAAAAAAAAAGATTTGGTTTTATAACATTATAAATTAAAATAGATTTTTGATTAGTGATACCCCGTGTAATCGAACTGGATGCAAGGACAAAAATCTTAATGAAACTTATAATCTTAAATCAAGAGTGTAGGGACGAAATGTGTCATTCATTAACTTGTCGATAATTAAGACGGTCATACAAAAAATCAATTTAATTGCTATTTTTTTTTCTCAAATACAATATTCTTATAAAAGATCAGGGGTTCAAATCCATTCTAATAGAACTATTTTGAATGTGTGTGTTAAAAAAAAAAAAACTAATTCAATTTTTGGTGAAATTTGATTTTTTTAAAAAAAACAAACCAAATTGAAATAATTTCGATTTTTTTCAAACTTTTTATATAAAACCAAACCGAAATTATTATTTCGCTTTGATTCTGTTTAATTTTTTGGTTTCAAACGAATAGTTCACTTTTATTTATAACTCGTATAACAAGCGAGCACCGTTATTTTATTAGAATGATGTTTATTTACCGTTTATTTGTAATATTATTTGATTAAAACTATACGGTTGATGTTGTACTTTTCTTTTTTTAACAAAACCGGTAGAAGATTCATCCACGTATATCGATTTTATCTATCTTCTAGTAATGGAACAAACGTGGAAATGGATAGACCTATCACGAGAAAAAAAACGAACGAGAAGAATGTTTCTTTACAATTTGTTATCAATTATAATAATAGTAATTTTTATAGAGATTTGTAATGTCAAATGCAAAAAATATCGAAACAACCCAAATAGCCATGTGGTATACCATGTAATAATTATTTTTCTCAAACAATTCAAGGTTTATTTGTGTGCTATGCTTTTTAGTTTTTAGTTTTTTTTTTTTCATTAACCTAGTTTTGACTTAATTAAGAATAAAGGGGTTGTAAAAAATATTTGTGTTTGTTTTATCAACGCATGATGTTAAATGTCAAGGCATTTGAAATATCTTAGAACATCACTCTCCCTCCAAAGCTTGGAACGTGATGTCTTTCTATAACAAGGATAATCACATTCTTTGGTGGGAGGAAATGAAAAAAGAAGAAGATTTGAACTTTAATGTCCTTGCTTTTATTTTAAGTGGACTAAAATGCCTCTACTTCAATCAATAATAAAAAATACTTAGCACTTTAACCCATGATCTTAAATATAATTAATACTAATATGATAATCGTATTACGCTGCAATAGAATCAACACCGTATGTTCGGAGTATGTACTTATTTATTAAAAATATTTAGTGAGATGTTAATTATAGAATATTATGCGTTTTTTTCAAGTGCAAATAATTGATAGCAAGGTGAAGTCGCAATAATGATCTCAATGAAGAATGGTTGTAAGTTTTTTTTTTTAATTCATGCAATTTGATGCAATAATATAACGCAAGATGAAAAAGGTTATTAAAATCAATCCATAATTACGTATTTGATTTTAAGTTTACTTGTTCATGGATTTTTGGCAACGGTATTTGAAGCTATTATAGGGGAGTGGATTAGTTAATGGCTAGGAGGGAAATTGCCTTTCGCTGTTGCCTCGTCATTATTCTCATCAACATGAGTTGTAAATTTAAGAACTTTTTTTTTTTTTTGTCTTAGCAGCATGTTTTTATTGTGTTTTGATTAAGTTTACTCAAAGGGTCGATTTTATTATTATTTATTATTATTATTATTATTATTTGTAAAAATGATAAGCTAAAAAAAAATTAAAACTATACAAAAAACTAAACAATAGTGATGACATAGCAAATTCTAATGCAACAATAAAAGAAATATGACGTTTATCGATTAAAAATGTGCCGATACAGCAACACAAAAAGGCTTAAGCGTTATCTGAATAAAGTCCAAAACGAAGAGCCATCGGGCATATGGTGTGCGAAAGGGAGCATGGTTCACAACGATGATACGTTGTAATTTGTAAGGCAGCTTGATGAAATGATCAATTAAAAAGAACATGGTTAAGAATAGCTCGTAAAAGACAGTAGCTACATGGAATGTGGGGTTATTGAGGTAGTCATGCAACCAATAGAATTTCCTAAAAAAATTTCTAACATGCATTCTATTACTAACAGCACTAACATCAACGTTGCAGAGGAAAAAAGGTTAAAATACCTCAAAACAATGTGCAAATAAAAAATTATACATATGTATATGAAACTTCACATATCATAGAGAGAGTAGCCAAAAGAAGTGATAAAAGGAGAGTGAAAACTTAGTTGATTAAGACTAGCAAACCGAAAGAAAATGGCAAGAGTTAGTTTGAATAGGAAAAAAATATAACCAACCTTTAATAAAGACGAACGATACTCAGAGAAATCTCCTAGTGTAATAAGCAAACCACAATGACAGTAAAAAGACAACGGAAGCTTGATCAAATTAAAGTAGAAAACTTTAAAATGAACAGACACAAATCTATTTGACAACAAATCACTCTCACAACAAACAAAGGCATCCATGAATTTTAAAAAGAAGGAAGATAAAGAGTAAAAGAAAAAAATTGTGGATATATGTGAGTTTGACTATTAATTCAGAATGTGTACAAGTAATTTAGTTTTTTTTTTTTTTCTCTCATCTCTCTTTTGTATATATATTAAACATTGATAGTTATTTGTTAATACCTTAAAATTTCTCTTCATTTAGACGGCTAAAAAAAAATGATAATCATTTAGATTTCTTTTGCGGCTACTGTACTGAAAAGATGAAAATAATTCCTCTCATCAATTTATTAATTTTAAGTAAAGATTTTTAGTCATTTTGTAATTAAGGTAAATAGTTTAAAAAATGTATTGAATGTCTATATATTATAAAAAAGAAAAAATTATTTAAAAAACAGAGAAGAAGATAGCGAAACACGAGGATTAGATGTTGTTGAGTAAGGAAATAAAAAAAATGAAAGGCAGAAAAGAAAAAGAACTTAGTTGTCAAAACCAAGCAAATGGGATAGAGGAACACAAACCAAGAAAGAAAAGGTTGAAAAGAAAAGCAAAAATTGTTATAAAGAACAGAGAAGAAGATATCAACTGACATGAGCATTAAATGCTTTTAGAAGAGAGAATAAAAAACACGAAAGGTAGAATGGCAAGAAAGAAATTTGTGTTAAAAAGTAAGACCAATTAACAAACAAACAAACTTTAAAAAAATATAGCAAAGAAAATCAAATGGCTATGAAAGGAGAAGAGGCAAGATCAATGGGCGAGAGCGCAACATGGTACCATTGAGTGATCATCTACAGTGTACATAAGTGTGAGTATACAGTAAATGAATAGTAATAAGTCCGGATCTTTTAGTTTTTTTGTCCGATGTGTGCAGCTATTTCATTTTGAAAAATTAGCTACGAATGTAATTAATATTATTAAATATATTATATGTGTTTTTATGTGCACAATTATTTAGAAGAAAAATATCATGTTGGAAAATTAGTTTTAAATGTGATTAATATATTATAGATGTGTTTATGTGTACATTTATTTTTTTTAAAAAATCATATTGATATTGATAAATTAGATTTTTAAGTTTCAAAGGTAAAATAATAAACTCATTTAGATTCCTCATGAATTCTCTTGAACGAATCAAACACAACAAATACACGTTACGATAAGTTTTTAGTTTCAACCAAATATATATAAATATTACATCTACGAGCATTGACATTTCTAGCAATAACATTCCCAACAATTATATTTTAAGAGAGTATCTAAAAAATTATACATATGTATAGGAAACTTCACATATCATAGAGAGAGTAGCCAAAAGAAGTGATAAAAGGAGAGTGAAAACTTAGTTGATTAAGACTAGCAAACGGAAAGAAAATGGCAAGAGTTAGTTTGGATAGGAAAAAAATATAACCAACTTTAATAAAGACGAACAATACTCGGAGAAATCTCCAAGTGTAATAAGCAAACCACAAGGACAGTAAAAAGACAACGGAAGCTTGATCAAATTAAAGTAG